TCGGAACGGTTATATTCCGAGGTAGCGTAAGTAGTGTACCTTAGTTCTACTAAAAAAAGATTGTTGCAGAGTTGTCGCTAAAAGCGCACCGTAGCCGTGCCAACCAAAAGCCAGTGACGTTGATCCGCGCGCGCAGTTCGAGAAGCTCGACACCACGATCCGACACGGAAAAGACAGTTCCTGCGCTGGCGCGGCCGCCGCCATGTTTGTAGCATCGCTAAGGTTTTGCTRAGTGCCCTTCGCTTCTCTTTCCCTCTCTCTATCAACATGTCTATTCTGTCGTGTGGGAGGTAGACATCCTCGCCTGCCCGGTTCCTTCCTCCTCGCCTCTTCCATTCCGTGGGGAAGCTGCGAAACAGGCGCAGCCAGATCCTCGACATGTTCGGACGCAAGAAGCACAGCGAGGATGAAGAGGTAGCAGCAGCGGGAGAAACAGCACGCACCCCGTCCTCCTCCGACGGCACCCTCACAAACGACAATCACTTCTGCCGCCACGACCACAGACAACTCAGCAAAGCTCAAATCAAACGCGCAACCCGACCACGATTGGGCTGGGCTCTGTTCTCCTCCTTCTGCCTGTTGGTTTCCGTGGTCTTCCTCATCCTGGTCGAAGTCGGCAACACCCAAATTGGCAGCATCGTCAATGACATTTACTTTCTCAAAATCGATGTGTCAGACATCATCCCAGTTTCCGTCCCAGACGCTGTCTTGATCAACAGTATCGCGCAGACATTGGGTCTGCATGACTTTTACACAGTGGGACTCTGGGGTTTCTGCCAGGGATACAATGGACCAGGCGTAACGGAATGTTCGAAACCCCAGAATCTGTACTGGTTCAACCCGGTGGAGATTCTACAGAGGCAATTATTGGCCGGCGCAACGAGTGAGTGCTTGAAAAACAATCCTTCAAAACAGGGATGAAAATGCTAACTCCATTAACTACAGTCGCCCTCCCCTCTCAAATCAACACCATCCTCGACCTCATCCACATCATCTCCAACATCATGTTCGGCCTCTTCCTCACAGCAGCATGCGTGAATTTCATCATGATCTTCGTCGTTCCCCTCTCGGTATACTCCCGCTGGAGCAACCTCCCCATAGCAATTCTCGTCTCCATCAGCGTGCTTCTCACAGCCGGCGGAGCAATCATCGCAACGGTCATGTTTGTCATCTTCCAAGTCGCCATCACTGCCGCAACAGACCTCAACATCAAAGCGAATATTGGAATTGAGATGTTTATTTTCATGTGGATTGCTGCCGTGGCGGTCGTGTTGGCTTGGTTTACGCACATGGGAATGTGCTGTTGTTGTGCTACAAGGAGGGATGTGAAGACGGGGAGGAAAAGGGGAAGTAAGAAGGCTTACAATCGGTCAGATCAAAGGACGGAGATTTTGGAGGAGAAATCCACGAWAAAAGAAAGGAGTGTTACACTGCCGACTTTTGGGAGGAAGGGAAAATGAGGTGGTCGGTGATGTCTTTCTCACCCGATTCTAATACTGTCCTTGATGACTTCTTGACGACTTTGACCCGCGTTTTGCATAGCGGCGTATACGAGGAAAGAGCGAACTCCTTGAAGATAGATATTTCATCATAGTGTATAGACTGACTGTTCATATGAGTTTGCATCCTGGCAGAATTTCGGTGGGGTGAGAATGTCTGGTTCCATGCCAATGTCATCTCCATGGATGTGGGTGGCTGTTGATGTGGGACGAAATTCTCTCCAATTTTGGACATGTCAGCTCCACGTAGCAGTCATTTTTCCAAGTGCTGGAAGCCCCTTCATTGCTTCAGTCGCTCATGAGATGTCAGAGTCCATGGAGGGAGATCTAATAACCGCCAATCTCGYAGGTCATGCCTCCCTGGAGATCACAGGATACGTAACGGGGTTATGCACTGGTTCTCATCAATCCGGCATTTCAAAGAAAGAAACACTACCCATTCGCTAGCTAATATAAGGTACTCAAGGGAAAGGCTGTACAACCCATTTGTCTCACACACCCACAATGCAACCCAAACTCCCTCCCACATGTATAGTCTTTACGACGGTATGGTGAACGTTCAACTCCAGTTACATGCCACTCATTCCCATAAACAAAGAAAGCAAAGTCATCAGTCTGCCAACCCACTATCCATCCCGCCTGGTATCAATCTTCCATGCCCGTCTCACCAACCCTTACCCACGCCCAGTTGCTGTCCGTATGTACCTGAAAAGAGCTGCTGCCGTATGCTCGCCCGCTCATCACTCGCGCCCTGTGTGCCTGGAGATGCAGTGTTTTGAGCGAGAAATCCCGTGGCTGCCTTGAGTTCATTCACAGCTTCCTCCATACGTCCTCGGCTCTTCTGGTTGTGCTCCACCAGCTTGTGATCCCAACCGCCGAATTGCAAGTGGAATCCTCCCGCTCGCTTCGCCGCTTCTCGAATGACCAGCGCCCACGCCTTGGCAATCTCATCATATGCCTCGTCCTTGTGTCGCTGATGCAGATAGGTGTCCCAATCCGGCAGGCGGTGGATCATGTTCGTGACCGAGTCGAGATATGTGAGAGATTGAGCATCCTGTGTCTCGTGGGGAGGGAGGAAGTGTGGTGTGTATTCCCGCACGGCTTCAATCAGCTGGAGAAGGTGGTGTCGTACTCGGTTGTAGGCGTAGTCGGATGTGGTGCGGTTGCCGAGGGGGAAGGATTCCCGAAAAGCATTTTCATATCGGGAGAGTACGGAGAGGGTGGACTCGATCGAGGGTCGTGGGGCACGAGTGACGATCTCGTGCTGAAGGTCAGGATGTTGGTCGCAGACATTTTGCAAGAGTTGCCGCATCTGATCGGCGGAGAGAGTCTCGAGCAAGCGGGGCAGGGCGAGCGGTCGGCCGTTGGCGGCGCCAGTGCGCGTGCGCTTTGTGATGCGCGGACGAGAGGAGTTGTGGGGTGAGGCAGAAGGCGAGGGCGACATGTCGTGGTCGACGGGCTCCTCGGATGCTTTGCGCTTGCGGGAAGACATGTTTGCGGCGGCGTGGTGCTGGTTGTATGCGTCTGCGGAGGAGATGTGTTAGTTTTGATTCCATGACATGGCATACAATAGGAAAGGAAAATGCCGCTGCTTACCACGGGAAGGGGAGAGGCGGCTGTTCAATAGGTGCGGCGGAAGCGAGTTGGTGTGCAAGAGGCCGTTCATGGTCAATGTCGAGGGTGAGGAAGATGCGAGGGTGGTGATGAGGGTTGTAGGAGGAAAAGGAAGAGGAAGAGTGGAGAAGCGGACCGCTTCTGATTCTGATTCACTGTTTCCCGCGCCCGATGGACAATTTGTGGTGGAGGTGTGTGGTGGGTGTGTGGTGGATGTTGAGTAGTGGATTTAGTCCTGGTCCAGGTCCAGATGCAAGAAGATCCGATCCACTGGTACTGTAGATGGATCAACCGAGTTGATGCTCCCTCCTTGCTTTGGTAGATGGGAGGGAGGGAGGAGGGAGGGAGCGGGATGGAAGTTAACCTCTGATTTCCTCGAAACGGAGCAACCTTCACAGTGTCCGGGCGTTGTTTGGTGTTGGTTGCTTTGGTGTATCACGCCGAGTCTCCGTAACTTACTTTGGTCTCGGGCTCACATGACATGACGCCTAAATGTTAGGTTAACCTGACCTTGCCCTGCTTCAAGTTCTTCCAAGCCTTATCGCCAAGCACGGATAAGATTCCGCTTCCAGGGCTCCGCTCCTTTCACAATCATGCATGAATGATTTGTTAACTGTCCTTTGTTCATCAGGAACTTTGTGCGTCACTTACTATATTATACGTTAGGGACATTCGTTGGCCGCAACGCTGAGGACACTATTGGCTTGATTGATGGTGAATTGGAAAAATCTCCATGGAGACGATTCCTGAATCGCCTTTGCAGTTTCCATTTTCATCCATCCAAAATATATTGCTAGCACCCCGGCCATAGGACTAGAATATTTTAGATCGGGGATATCCTCACTGGACCATGAATCGTCTACATTCCTCCCACATACAAACAGCGCTGGACGCTGAAGACGACGAACCACTCTTGGACTCCGACACCGAACATGGAGATATCGAACTCGCAAACCTCGACGGCAGAGAAAGAACTCMCGTCAACCATTATCTTCAACGAGATGAACCACCCAAACGAGCAGTATCCATGTTATGGATCGCTATAACCCTCGCGGTATGTGTCCTCGGATTCACAATCAACACCGAAGCAACCGCTTATGTTGAGGACTCTCTCGGCTGGAAAAAACCTTTTGCAACAATGTACATCACTCATTCCTCTCTCTGCTTACCCTGGTTATGCCACATTGCCTATCTTCGATGGAAGAACCGGAAAACTCCCTACAAGTCATGGGTACGAGAGTACAACAACGAACTTCGCGGATCCATCGCTACGGTCGATGCATATGCTACTCAAGGCCCGAAGATGATCATTAAACGACAAGGACAGACGGGAGGTCCCTTGGACTTTCTCGCAACCTCCATGGGGATTGTCACAGTGGTTTTGACAGCCAGCGGTGTGAGCTGGTTCGTCTCTCTATCTCTCACCACCCCCGCGGATCTCACGGCCATATACAACTGTTCAACATTCTTCGCCGCGGCATTCAGCGTTCCAATTCTAAAAGAAAAGCTAGGCTGGCTCAGCATCGCCGCCGTCGGAATCTCAATCATCGGAACTTTTACCATCGCATATGGCGACACAACAGCCGAGCACGACGAAACTTCCGAATTCGGAACCAATAGATTACTGGGCAATATCATCGCTTGTGTTGGCGCCGTGGCATTTGGACTTTACGAAGTCCTGTTCAAGAAATGGGCCTGTTCGAGCAGACCGGAGAGTGAAGTTAGTAGTTTACCTCTAACTCTCGCCGCAAGCGCTATGACGGGGTTGTATACTGCAGCTTTGGGATGGATYGCCATCATCATCTTCCACATTGTGGGCGTGGAAGCTTTTACGATTCCGAATTTCTATACCTGTATTTGGATCGTTATTGCTGTTCTTGCTGGATCAAGTATGTCTCTTTGCATCTTTCTTCTGGTATGCGAATGCTTGCTGACATGTTTTACTCATAGTCTCCATTACTCTCCTGGTAGTACTGGTAATTTGGACGGATCCAGTCTTTGGAAGCATGGCGAATGTTTTGAGCGTGTTCTTCGTCGCTCTGGCGGACTGGTTGGTTTGGGACCTTAGCCCGTCCATGGCTACTTATGCTGGTGGCATCTTAATCTTTGTGGCGTTTGGGATGTTGGGGTATGATTCTCTAGTGGAGAAGAAGGAGAGATGAAAAGTTCTGGATTAGTAGGAAGATGTATGTCTTGACAGCAATGATTCTGATCAGATGACGTTGGTGGTATATCTCCGCCAGCATCACCGAAGAATGGATGCTCGTAATAGGAGAGGGTCGGCGTCTGCCATGCTGCTGATATTGAACCACCTGGCAAGCACATTGCATGAAGATTGAGCTACTACAGATCAGTGGCCATCTGGTCTCTGTTGACTATACCTGACACCAGTGGTAGCAGCCTAACGTACTTCAAGGTTTACATCGGTGAAGTTTGGCATTTATCTACTGCCGTCGTGAGCAGTATGTAGAGATGGTTGATGCTCGAATGCTTTGTGTTCGTCTATTTCGTCAGATCTGATCCAAAGTTGGTACATATTATTGATCAAGACTGCATTGGCTTGTCGATCCCAAGCCTTGCGGAGATTGATAWTTGAATATCACCTTGCAGTCGTGGTGCTGGCAGAAACTAGAGAGCAGATTGACATTCAGCTCTTCAAACCACCATAAGCTCGAAATGCTCAAGCGAAGAGTTCAACAGGAATTCATCGACGGAGCTCTTTGTTCTCCTCTCCCCAAGACATGAATAGAAAGAAGAAAAGAAATGCAAGAACACAAACATCACGAAGACTCAACATACCAAGCAAACATGCCTCTCCAACGACAACACCATGCCAACATACCTCTTACTCCTCCTCTCGAAATCCAAAGAGTCCTTCACACCAAGGATGCCTCCAGCAAACGCAGCAGCCATATCACGCGTGCTGAAAGATATCGCCAATTTCAGCCCTCCTCTTCTCACTCGCCCTGCCCAACAAACCTACCTCACCAAACTGACCYCTGAGCATAAATTCACTTACTACAGCGCCACATATGGACACACAATCCACGACGCAGCTTCGTTGAGAAAAGTGCTAGCGAATACGATGAGACATCATCCGAATCCCGAATTTGGGATCGCGGGAGGGAATGCCGCTGTTGATACGTTGTTCCAGTTTGGTTGTGAGATGTTGGAGCCTGGGTATGTCGATGAGGTGATGCGAGCTGGATTGGAGGCAGTTGTTGAGAGGCGGGAGGAGGAGGAGGAGGAAGAAGAAGAGTCGAGTGAGGATGAACTGGGTGAGACATCGGTGGGGGATAAAAACAGCGGGCATGCCGATGAGGACTTTGTCCCTGTGGGAAAGCGTTTGCGAAAGCGCGGACCACCCGGTCCTCACAAGCGCAAGATCTCAACGTCGAGCTCGGAGGAGAGTTCCTCTTCGAAGGATAGAGAATGGCAGGATCCTCCGCGCAAGATGATCAAGCGGAAGCACGCAATATGCTCCGTTCTTGCAACTTCTCCTTCTTGTGGAAGCAAGCCAGAGGGTGGAACGARGACGCTGGACCATCGGCGGCGGTCACATGTCGGCGAATACCGCGTCGTGAGCCATCTGCAGCGGGATGCAGAGTGTGGCCGAGCTGAAGCGGAGACCGTGTGGGATCAGCATCAAGGCTGTCGGCGGCTATCGGTAGTGGCTGGTCATAGTAGTCAACCGCGACAGGTTGAGCAGTCGAGCCTTCAACAAGCGCAGAGCAGCTTTGGTCAGTCGGATCACGCAAAGCTGCGTGAAGCAGTCGAGAGGCTGAACCGTCGAGTGCAAACCGCGATCGTACAGCTCTGGGATGAGATTGGAGATGTGCGGTGATTGTTCTACTATAGTGCTGTCGCTGCCCTTGAGACGGCGAATCCGTTGTACGAGAACTCAGTCTGCAAGATGTGGACCTTGAGAGATTTCGGTGGATGCAGTAGCTCGAGAGTAGATGCTTTTGCCGGCAACCGCGGTGAGAACGAAAAATGTAAGGGCGAAGCTGATGGCGCAACAGGTGCTCCCGATGGTGTAATCCAGCTCTCATTCACATGCTACCTAGCTTCTGATCCTCCGCTTTTTGAACTTCAAGTGCGCACTGCTCTTTCATGCTCAAGGGACGTGAAGTATATGTGAAGGATGACTTTGTAGAAATTGCGTCTTCTAATGACTCTTTCTTGTTGAAAAAGGCATGATGGAAGTGGTGAAAAGGGAAACCCTACCTGCTGGCTAGCGATCTTGACATGAACCCTTGAAACACAATGTGACATGTCCTGCAGGGTCTGCGTATGATCACGGTTCTCGAAAGAGAGTTCTTCATGTGATGAGTCGCAAGATGGTAGCAGTATGCGGCTGGGCTCGAGGGTCTTCACGCTTGACTTTTGAGCGCGCGGAACTCCGATGAATGGCTCTGTCTTCTAGCGCGATGGTTACTTTCGGACATTAGAATTTACCGTAGTTAGACGCTGGTCCAGGTGAGGAGACCAGCCTCAGACTGGAAGCTACAACCTCTGTCAACGACTTCTTCCGAGGGTTTCCTTGCAGCAAATCCCGTCCGTTGATTGAAGAGGATGCTGCTGATCTCTAGCGATGCGTGTATCGACGCTGACGGTTCTTGGTCACAGCGCATCCCTGCAAGACGACAGTGACGGCAGATGTCAACGTCCCAATCAAAGGGGCCGAATTTAAAGGTGTGGTATACATGGTTACACGTGTAGTGACTCCAAGCGTGGAGAAGGTGGTGGTGGGTTAGTGCGCGAGCAAGTGTGCGTTGAGATCTTCTAGGCCATACTTTCTACCACTCTCGATTCCCGACGCGTGTGGGCCGCTCGGATGCCGCAACCGGATGTGGAGAATGCCTCCTTGCCCGGTCCGTCTTCTGGGGTGTCTGGATCGTTCCTTGTGCCCACTGTGAATGTCAAGAGATGTCGTGGGTGCTGTTGTCGTCAACTTAGCAAACGATCCGTCCAAGGACACGATAGTTGGTAGCCGTGCATGATATGTATTCAATGATGAGTGATCATGGACGGATGGATGCAGGTGCAGCACAGTGGAGGAACATTCCGCACATTCCCGAGGTGTTTGCATGGGTACGAACTGGCGTGGGATTGGTCCATCCAGACGATGGCTGCTGAGAAATCGGGAAATGCTTCAATTCGCACGGCACCCCCACCAAAGTTGCGCCGCACTCCTCTCGGCCCTTCTACCGCCAGGTACCTACCACCTTTCTCACTGCCAACCTACCACTCCACGGCTCTGCTTCTTAGAAACACACCATCGCCACCACTCCGACGACAAGGCGTCTCTTGCGTGTCTAAGATAACCATTTGCCGAGTCTGATCTCACGATCAATCGTGCAAACCGTCCTCCGGAACGCCACCCTCCTCGCCAATCTCGTCGAACAAAGAAACTCCTGCCTTGCATTGTGAAAGCGACCGACCACCAGTGTCTGGACTGGACTGCACTCTGACCCGTATCATTGTCACACTACCCACCAACCGAGCCACCTCACGCCCTCCGAAATGTCGACGTACAACGGCACCGGGCGTAGGGCCCCCAATGTGTCGCAGTATCTGCATAATCTGAACACGGCGCCCACTGCGCAGGAACTGGCCGACCAGCAGCAGGCCCTTGACTTGACTGCCGCTGGTGACTTGGACTTTTTGACCAACACGGAATTCTTCGACTTTGATCAGTTCAACCCAAATGTGCCCGTCTTCCCAGCGGACAACATTGTCGACAACAGGAATGGTATGCGTCATGTTGTGTATACTACATGACATCCACGTACTAATCTACATATTTTCCAGGCCAGCAATTCGCATTCGATCAATTCAACGCCTTCTCACAAACAGCCGTGAACTCACCCACTACAACTGCCAGCCCACACGATGCTCTGCACGGCATCTACCCAACCCAGCCCCACCACTTCTCGGCCAGTCCAGTCGTAGGGGACAAGCGCAAGGCATCCGTATCCATGCCCGCTGTTGAACATCTAGAGGAGTCTTCTCGCGTTGCCGCCGAGGAGGACAAGCGCCGCCGCAACACGGCCGCTTCTGCTCGGTTCCGCGTCAAGAAGAAGCAACGCGAGCAGGCTCTCGAGAAGCAGACCAAGGAAATGTCCGACAAAGTCTCTGCACTGGAGAACAAAGTCTCGCAGCTCGAGCAGGAAAACAAATGGCTCAAAGGGCTCATCACTGAAAAAAGTGACGGCAAGGCTCTTGATATCGCTCTAGAAGCGCGCTTGAAGAAGGAAACCGACGAGCGGAGTACGGGCAACCGCACCGACGGCGTGGGCACGAGCGAGGAGTAGTTCTTCTCTGGCTTGCTTGCTTGCTACCGCGCGAAGGCTGTCGTTGCAGTTGCTCTTTATATCCACCAGCCCCATGAAAGTCTTGTCTATTTTTTGATTGTATAGCGGTACCTATCTGATGGTCTGATACGGCCACGGCCACGCGCCCAATGTGGTTACGACACAGGAAATGAATGTTCAACTCATCATACTACCTTACTACTACTGTGTGCTCTGCTCGTGGTTGCTCACCTGCCGTTATGATAAGCCGGATGTGTTGATGTCATGTCTCGTCGTGCATGACGGTCGCCGGTCGGTCCCCGAGACATGTACTCTCGGCTACCGGCCACCTCCCATCCTTCACGACAGCATCCACACCACCAATGCGATCCCGCAAGTGATGCAACGATGACCGCTCGGCCCAGATTAGGTGAGGTGAGGTTAAGTAAGGTATGATTGAAGAGGGCAGTCGCGTGGAGATGCACATTGCCATTATTAATGCAGGAGCGACTACCTAACAACGCAAGGCACTCAACTACCACCTTATTGTGCTGTCACATTTTGGGCAAGTTACGGAAAGGACTGTTCCATCATGTATGTCGACCTATGTGATTTGGAAAAGATGTTTTCAATTCATGTCCTGCTGCTATTGGATATCTAACTATCGCTGCTGCTGTTGTAAGAGAAACTGTACCATATCTGTAAAACATGTCCGAACTGCTGCTCATGGCGATGCCTGAAGCAAGATCAGAAGGGAGAGTCCACTGGATACTACCATCGCAAGTTGGCACTCCATATGGACTCCTTTCCTATCAAGCAAGACGCTCATGCGGACAGTTCAATCACTCTCATTGTCCTCCTCTTCTTCCTCCTCCTCGTCGTAGACATCACCATCACTCGCTTCTGGAGTCGCTGCACCTGCGTGTCCCTTCACGCTTCCCCTCCCACCCACCCCGTCAGAAAGATCCATCTCGTCACTACCAAGATACTCCTCTTCGGACCGCACCTCATCGGAGGAATCCACCACTCTCCGAACATGTGCTTTCTTCACAACAGGTCCGCGATGTTTCTCGCTCTTGCGATCAACAACTTCCTTTTCCTTCTCTTGAGCCATCAACTGCACATTTTCCTGCGCATCATCAGAAGAATCCACCACTCTCCGAACATGTGCTTTCTTCAAAACAGGTCGACGATGTTTCTCGCGATTTCGAGCAACAACTTCCTTTGCCTTTCCTTGAGCCATCAACTGCAAAACTTCCTGCGCCTCATCGGAGGAATAAACTCTTCGAACGCGTGCTTTCTTCAAAACAGGCCCACGATTCTTCAGGGGCTTGTGAGTACTGACTTTCTTGTTCTTCTTTTCGTGCACCTTTCCATCCCCACCAGTACCTGCATGTCGACGCACCGCCTTGCTCTTCTTGACGACACCCAAAGGCTTCGCACCCTTGGAAGAAGGGGAGAGCCCTTTATCTCCAACTTTGACGGATGTGTCCTCGATCTGCGGAGCATGGGAGCCATGTCGAACTTGTGCGACAACAATGGTGTCGCCCGGTGGTTGGTCATCTTCTTCGCTGCCATCAGCACCTGTGTCATCAAACGCCGAGGAATGCATGCGCTTCTTCTGGTGGCTTTCGGGATGTGGCGGACGTTCTGGACTCTCACCTTGCGATTCACCTCCATGCCTCACCAAACGATCCTTGACTTTGTCGGACGAGGCGACGCGTTTCTTGGGGTGTGGTGGGCTTGCATTTGCAGAGACCCATTCACTTGCAGAATGCGAACTGTCTGCTTCCATGTGAGTTGGCCGTTCAGGGCTTGGGACATTCTTGGGAGGACTCAGGGGTGGGTCGCTGGTAACATCTTGAGCTGGGCTTTCGTTTTGCTCGAGTGCTTCTCCGTTGTTGCGAGCTTCCATTTCCTCCATTGCATCCACACCATCGAGAAGGCCCTTCTCTTGCTCACCTCTTTCCGCGGCGTTGCGCGAACCATGTTCATCATCGTCACCATCGTTGGGCACATCTTGTCTCTCAGCGGCAGTTGTGGCAGCGGGCAGCTTGGCAGCCTTTCTGCTTTTCTTCTTGATGCGTGCCGCCTTCTCCGCGTTCTCAGCTGAAACGTCGGGTGTTGAATCGCTCCCGTCTGAACTAATGCTGACAGGTTCTGGTTCTGCATCGGTTTCCTTATGTCTTTGGATCAGCATCACTTGGCCTCCGGAGACCATTTGTTCCAGCTGTAACATCGCAGGCATAGTCGTAAAAGCAACATGTCCGCCAATCTCTGGAGAATCCTCGTCTGCGACCATGTAAGTCATATCTATAGCACAATCTGCCCACATTTTCACTTCGTACTCGTCCTTCTCACCCTTCATCCTTGCAAGAAGAAGAAATGCGTCGCTGCAGATGTCATTCAACGCCGTGGGTAGAGCCAATCTCAACGCTGTCGGAGTGTCTATCGGAGACATCACCTCGATGTGCGGATTAATCGCAAGTAGCAAGTCGGCGGCCATGTCGTTTGCCAGGGGAGTCAAGACCTCGTTGATGAACTTCTGGGCCTCCAACTGTATCCGTGAGGCTCTATGGAGCACGTCAAACAACATCAAATGAGTCCTTTCCTGCAGACTTGCGCGAACATATTCTGCTTCATCGGATGCATCATATTTGTGCGGTGCATCGTAAGGCACTTCCTGTTGGTCGAATATGTGAATGCAGAGGAAAGCCCAGATGWGAGCTTTGAAGAAGGGCCTGGGTTGGAGAACTCTACGTTGTTGGAGATTTACTGCTCTAGCCTTCCAATTTCTGTCAAGACCTCCGCGGAGAACTCTGATGTAGAGTGGTTCCAAAGCTGGACCAGGGAAATCGGGGAAGCGGCACATGTCGGTTGGATTTGGGTGGTTGATGAACAATGCGTTTGTTGCAGCTGTGATCTTGACGTGCAWGCGTCGGATCCCTTTGATGAAGTGATCTACAGCCTCATCGTGTAATCTTTCGGACTGCCCACTCGGTCTATCGTGATCACCGCTGACAGGTTGGGAGACTCCTGAGGATGATGCCCTCACAGGAGGTTGATTAGGCTTTGCGGTCGATCTCGGCTTCTTCGACTTTGGTGCAGCATCACTCCCCAGCCTACCTCGCTTTGCAGATGGGCCTTTGGCTGTTTGAGCCTTAGTTGGAGGTCGTTTCTCGTGGCCCTTGGAGTGATGATGGCGTTTGTCGCGATCAGGTTGATCACGGAGGACTTTGTTATGTTTTGCCTTTGATGGCTGACCGGCCTTCTTCGTGTTGGTGTTCGCTTTGCTGTTCTCTGTAGCGACCACTTCGGACGTGGAATCACCGCCATGCGTGACTTCCCGATTCGGTTCCGCCGTCACGATCTCATCATCATCGTCTTCGTTGTCAGGTGGGTCTCCTACAGCCGCTCTTGGCTTCTTGGTGTTGGCGTCACTGTGTTGTAAATCTGCCTCTTCTGCAGCCTTTTTGCTTCGATTTCTTGTAACACGTATCTTGCCAGTAGATACAGCCTCAGCTACTGGCTCATCAACTCTCTCCGCAACATGATCACCTCTTTCAGCTCCAACGCCCTTCCCTTTGCCTTTCTTGGCTTCCGCATCCTCAAGCGCTTTCTCAGGAGTTGTTTTAGGAGTCGATGGGAATTTAGGCATCGCGGATTTCAACGCCGGAGGTTTGTTGCTTGCTAGGTGAGCCCTGAGTTGGTCTACATAGTCCGGCCTCAACAAGCTACTGCCTCGACGGAAGAGCTCGCTGATACATTCGTCTTCGGTGCGATCATGTCCGACGGCCCAGACACTCTCCTGACTGATAGCATTGAAAAGATATCCACGAAGATCTGTCACTTCGTAAGCACCATACCCGGCTTCGAAAACACGGATACGGCTTTCGTGAGCGGCTTTGAACAGAAAGTGATCCTGCTGTGTTTTCGAGTTTGCTTTTATGGCGAAGGCGGCACTGTGATCTGCTCGACCCTGGTCGATAGAGTCCAGAATGTACAGAATGATGCCGGCACGTCTTGCCATGACCACCGGCAGATTCTGATTTCCAGCTACAGACTGCATTGCAGAGATGATGGAGAAGTAAGATGATGGAGAAGCAGGATGATGGAGAAGCAAGATGGTATGCTTCCGTGTTGACTTCCGTATTGAGTCATGTGAAAAACAATGAAGGCCTAGCTCTCAATTGCGTACAAAAGAGGTCCAAACTCCTTCTGGCAATGAACCGAGCAAACACAATTGATCTTGAGGAATAGACGGATTGAAGCAAGTGGAACTCCACGAACCTACCGTTAGTCGACAAAAAGATGCCGCTTCGGTGATGCTTGTGAAGTTTTCATTGTGGCAGCTTCAGAGCACACACTCTGACTGATGTCCGCGACTCAATCACTATGTCAACAAAGGTGTGGATGTTGACGGATCGCCAGCGTAAAGGGCAGCAGTAAAGCGAAGGCTGATCATTTTGTGAAGAAGCTGCGTGATATGTGTGTTGTGGTAGAGTGGTGCTTTGACGGCGAGGAAGGCAGGTGATGTTTTTTGTCTCATGTCCCAGACAAGCTTTCGCCTGGGATCTGAGACTAGAGACACGCTTCGGATTTTCCACCCTTATTCAACTCGCAACACGACGCGACGAGAGTTCATCAAGAAGGTCGGAAGGACCACCTACCTTACAGGTACGTAAGGCCGCTCCCACGGTCCGACGCGTCCACGTTCATAATGCGTGCTTCCACGTTGTTAACCGGCAGATCCAATGGGCATGTCCGGATGTGAAAGCCGGACGCGAAAGGATTGTGTTGATTCTATGCGGAGGTCGGGTTCATTCCTACTTCTGCAAGTCGAAACGAGAGCTGGAGTCGAGCCTGGTCTGGACTGCTGTACCAGGATGGCGTTGATGGCAGGAAATAAAGGCTGATGAAAGAGATGTCATGTGTTTTGCGGTCGGTCCCTTGGGCATGAAGATGAAGAAAGAAACCATCGCCATCAAGGGCATTCCGAAGGTCCTCTCCATCTCCATCTCCATCTGCGTCCGTGTTCGAAGCTTTCTGGCCGTGCTTCGTGGATGCTCCCTCGACGGGACATTGGATGGCATGTTCTGCAGGTCCGCATACGAAACATGCCATTGTAGCACGCCGCTCAATAATAGAAAACCTACCTATTCTGCCAGCTGCAGGCCAGGCTACCTTATAGCTGTGTATACTTTTCGCCCGTCCAACCTGCAGGCGCCTCCGGCCCACGGCACGCTCTTGCCGTCTCGAACTTGCCTCGCCATCTAGTCGGCCCTGCCTGATAATAGAGGGCGATCCGACGACTCGGTTTGCATTTGCATCTCCATTCTGATGATCATCGTGTCTTAAAAAAAAGTTCTCTATTGCAGTTTTTCAACAATACCTGTTTCAAGTCATTCCGCGCGTGTGAATCGACTTCTCTCCCATCCGCTCCGTTTCGATAGCCCTCCATCCTGGCTTCCTCATTGCCCGACATCCCACTTCCTGATCCTAATGTCAACATGTCCGCCGCCTACCCGGTAGGCACCTTTGTTCCAAGCAGATTCGATGGAGGGCTGGTGGCTGCCTCGTACTTTGCCAGTCTTTGTGGGTGTCTTCTTACCATTGAAATCCTTCATCGTCGAGGCACATCAATCAAAAGCTTGAGGAGCTGGTATGTTGAGATTGGCATTCCATTCCATCATATGTATCGTGGCTAATGCTCTGTATAGGCTCGAGAGTTTTACCTGTGCAACATCCATGGGCTTGGTCGGTGTCTGGTGAGCAACTCGGCATGTTCGCTGTTGAACGTGCTCTGATTACTTTCCAGGTGTATGCACTTTATTGGGAATCGTGCCATTATTCTCGGGGATATCAAAGCCAACGTTGAGCAACTCTCCTACGGTGTTGGCTTTACCACCTTGTCAGTCTTACTGCCTGTGATGGGCCTCACGGTCGCCTTTTCCACCGCCGAATTGACGTCGAGCTCTACAACGATACGCTGGATCTCACTTGTATGCGCGGGAACTTTTGCAGGGCTTTCGGTTGTTGGTGTGTAGGCTTCTRAGTATTAAAGACGAACGCCATTGCTGACTCCATTCTTCTAGGCATGCATTACGTTGGCAACCTTGGTGTTCGAAACTACCATCTCATCTACAGCAAAATGTACATCCTGGCATCGGTTTTGATCGCGGTGGGAGATTGTCTTGCAGTCTTGGTTCTGTTTTACCAGCTACGAGAGCAGTGGATCAACCTGTGGTGGCGACGCTTTATGTGTGCGGTGCTTCTTGCTGGCGGCGTGTCGGTAAGGTCTCTTGGTAGTTGTAGGTACATTTCAGTCTCGTGGCTAATGGCTTCGCAGAGTATGCATTTTGTTGGATCTACCAATTGCAGATATGTGTATGTGAGGTCCGCGGGACCAAATGCCAATGGATCCAGGAACGTTCAAGTCATTGTTGCTGGAGCACTGTGTGGAGCAACTGCTTTGGTCATCTTGATTGGGTTGATTCTTATCCGTCGGCATGACCGTCACACGCAACGTCGGTCTCAAAAAGTTATGCTCTCGTGTGCGATGTTTTGTCCGGAAGGAAAAGTTTTGGTCACTCCAGAAGGAATTCTGCCTGCACGAGAGATTACGGACAAGTTCAATCACCGCACTTTTGACGAGGAATTCGACACGGCACACCCGGTATTCCAATGGATATTTCGAGTCAGCCGTAACTGGGCCGGAGTGATGGACCTTATACCAAAGATGAAAAGTCACCTTGGAGCACAGAGGAATGGCGGTGTTGATGATTCTCGGCTCACCAGCTCACAATCAAGTGCAATCTACGACACTGAGACATACCACGACTATGAAGTCATCTTCCGAGAAATGTTTTGCGTAGCTGCTGCTTCAATAGCCGCCTCGATTCATATGCCAATGGACAAGCTCGGGGTGATTTACGACAAGATCATTGAGACTGGAACATTGACATGTGAGGAAAAGACGAGCCGGCGGTTCCGGACCAGGAGGAGGTCGCTAGTGGATGTTGAAGCTGCACTGAGGCAGAGCGTTTTCGGCAAAGGTCAGCTCATGCTCCTCACCCGTATGTTGACGACAGATGAGGTGCATAAGCTGGAGAACGGGGGCTTCAAGTTTGCGTTTGTTGACCATGTCGGTCGAAGCATTGCCCACGCGATGCAGATCCCGCAGCGCACGCTGGAAGCGCACTTTWTCAGACTGAGGCGCTATGCGGATGATGCTCGACGGGAAGAGAAGTCTGGAACGTGGTTGAGTTGCTTTGCGATGATTCCAAAGCCGAATGGAAAAGGCTTCGATGTTGCAGTGAAGAAGGATTCTCCAGATCAACTCCCTGATGTCGCACTACTCCCCGGGCAGCCGACACCCGAGCAGGCTGCAACGTTGGATCAGCTGGATGGGCTTCGAGTCAGCCAGATTGCAGCAAAGTTTGACGATCCGAATGGAATGTATGGCTCTCATCTGGATAATGAAGCCCGGCGATTCGTGGATACATTCCACCAGTCCATGTTGAGTCTGATGCTTGCCTTGCCAAAGGAATGGACCAGCGAGGCTCGATTCTGGTCGAAACGACTCACTCCACATTACTGCCGTTCCCCAACGACCTTGTACGCATTCACCGTCATGGGGAATATGCATACTCATCTCCCACACGACAGTGATTTAAGCCGTGTTCCCAGAACCTTTTTCGAGACTCGCCATCGATGTTATCCCGGATCTCCCGATCATGCCCTACTGGCCAAAGAAATTCATGCCATGTTCGCGCCAATATTCGCCCGCAAGATTGCGAAATCTCGCCCTGTCAACCGACTGCACAAGCTCTCGAATGCTATTGGAGGGAGAATCTCACCCATTGCTAAGCTTTCCACCTCTGGGCGAACCAGCTCCAGCTCAGAGGAAAGTATGGTGGAGAGGGAAGAGGGCGAACATGTAGATCATGCGAGAGCAGCAGAGAAAAAGTACGAGAACAATAATCTCGGGGGGATACTTGTTGACACCAAGACGATGGTCAAGACGGATAGCAAGGTTACAACTCCTTTTGATAGCTCGGAACCCACGAAGCATCTGGGGAGTATTGTGGCTGTTGGGGTTGTGAAGCCTGAGAGGACTTTTGCCGATGAGCTTGTTGGGATTACAAGGGCGAGGTTTATGCCTGCTTCGACTAGGTCGACTTCCTATTGAGGAATGAATGAATGAGATGGGTCTTTTTGTCCTATACTTCACAATTTGAACGGTTCGCTTTGGGGTGTCTGTGAAGCTGGTTCTCATACACACGAATGTTCATGAGCCCTTGCAAATACTGTGAACAGTGCAGCGTGTATGCCCTCTCATGTATATTGATCAAAAGATGCATCTCGCCTTCGTCGACGAAGGATGTTGCTTCGCTGGAGGCTTTGGAATAAAATCAAACAGGCATATCCTCCGGGGATAGCAATCATGTTGGGTCGGTCATTCTTTGACTTTTTTTGCCTGTTTATGGATATAAACTCCTCGAAGTCAGATGTGGTTAAGAAGGTATGACTGGATATCAGGTAGATTGCATTGCTATGTCTAATGATCTCTCAGCCTTGTACTTGTATGCTACTAGTGAAGCGTCCTTGGCCCTAAAAAGTCTGCTTTCCAAAAGAATAGCTTGTCTCTCCGTCTAGGAGAAGGCATGACAACTCCAAGACATCAAGTAGATTGCATTGCTATGTCTGGTGATCTCTGAGCTTTGCACTTGCATGCTACCAGTGAAGCGTATGTGTCCTGGGCAAAAAATCTCCTTTCCGTCTGGGAATCGACAAAAAAAGATTGTTGCATGATGCTCTCCATCTGGGAATCGAACCCAGGTCTCCCGCGCTTGTTAATCGACTAGTGCCGATCTTGACAAGCGGAAATCATGACCACTAGACCAATGAAGAAGTGGTGCTGGTTGATAGCACATTGGTATGTTGTTCGATGGAAACAATAGGGTAGGCAAGGAATATGCTCAATTGCCTTTCTGTGCCGATGCAAAGCCGTATTCGAACGCTATAGGAAACTGTGAGACAAGGGAACGGACTCTGAGAAGTCTGCGAGTGACAATCTTTCAAATCACGAAAATGCCATGATTCTATTCAATCTATGTGCGTCTCTCATGCATCGAGCACGGCACCGGCTACAGGCCACCCAAAAGCTCCGTCTCGAGTTGTATACTGTGGCTCGTAACAAACTGTACTGTACATCAAAATGTGTGAGTGGGAAAATATTTTCAGCGGAGTTCCCAATTAGGAAATCCGAGCTAGTCTCGACTAAGAAGGAGGTCAAGGGATCCTTGGCAGTCAACGGCGTTTTCTCGGATGAATTTTTACTTTCCCGCGACATCATCCACGCCGTCCTCACTCATCAAAATTCAAGATCATCACCTTGTCAATAACATCATCATGAAGCGTCCGGGTCTTCAGCCACTATATTCTGTTGTATAGTCGACCGAGGTCTGGTGAAATTGCGAAGGGTGCCGCCCTACGTACAGCAGCCAAAAATGCTGTACCTATTGCAATGACGACAGCACGATTAAGAAGACATTGTGCGATGAGATATATTCGACCCTCCGGAAGGCTGCTTTCTTTTGCGCTTGTAGCTACCTGTTAATGACCTTTGTCATCGATTCACTACAAGGAGAGGCGGCAATCCTTAATTCCATCAGCCCTTGGACTACTACACCGCCCACTTGTCGCTTTTGACGATGACAAATCCGCAGAGCTGTCGATATGAGAAATCATCAACAAAAGCAGCGCCCTGAACTGCTCTCGCGATTGATTAACGGCTACTCTGCCAGTAGCAGGGAACAAATGCGCACGAACAAACAGGATTGGGGGCAAGATGCATTGGACCGTGAACCACGCAAAGTTTCGGTCATGCAAGACGTGCTGCAACCAGGTGACCGTGTGTATGAGGCATGACGGTAGCGACAATTGGCTCGTGCTCCCACTTCCAAAGACATATTAGCCATCAAAGGCACCTTTCGACGCGTCGAATCCTGCCTTTTACACCAACAGCACCAGTATGCACTCTAACAACCACAAGGAGTTGTGGACCAAGGATTATGCTTTGGCAAACCAGCATGTCAAAATTGACGAGGAGGATGATATTAATAGGCTTTAAATCATCGAGCTAATAGAGAGCGAGGCCTAAGGATACTATGGACATAACTGAGGATGCCTTGTCCTGGTGAATAATCCTCATACCGACAGCTCTCCAATTCTGGAACTTGCGAACTGGCGTAATTGACTCTGGAAGATCCAAAAGTTGACTTGATACATGCGCCGCTGGAACTACTGATCGTGGTCAACGGAAGTCTGATCATGCTGCCTGCATACAAGAATGGAGAATTCAGTCGCCTCGTTTCCAACATCAGTTATATTCTTACCCCTTGAGACTGAATATGATACAATGAAGATATCTTGTTACATATCATCGACCAAAGTGCGGCGCGGCATGGTCCTTACCTCTCGCCACAAAATGAGCCACTGAACATGATCACGTCTACCCTCGGAGGACAACTCGCGCAGCAAGGGATGGAGCCAAATTGCTGAACCGGTCAGGTTGGTCAATGGCAGCGCATTATCATATCTGAAATTAGAATATGAGCCGGATCCCTCTGGCTCGGTTATCATCATGAATGCAGCAGTTTGGCAGGGACAGTCGACTGGTAGAATAGCGATGATTCTCCATTGACCCTGGGAAAGGAGTCCATCTCGATACTCCCGATGATCATGTCATGAAAGAAGACTCGCCGGAATCGACTGCAGAAAGTCGCGGCAGCATGCTTCAGCCAGTATGTGGACGCCTCCGCTCTTGGCCAACGTGTATCCTTTACCAGATTTTCTGCCATCTGTTTCAACTTGGCTTACCCATTCTGATTTGATCGGCGGAGAAGCCGTGGCCGAATTGGAGCCGCGAGATGACTATGAAATGCATGCGACTCCTCCATTCAGCATTCGCTAGCCTCAAGATCTCGACGTGCTCACAAAGTGACACTGCTCCGTGGTGCATCTTGTCTAGACTCCTCTATGGATTCTTAAACGAAGCTTTGGTCATGAACTCCCACGGCCATGGCTTGTTTGTTTGACAGTGATGAACTGTCGWGCTGTGGAATTTCAGGATGATCACCATACTGGACGGTTTACAGAATGAGTCTACTCAACGCCGATGGAGTGGACTTGATGGAGACGACTATGCGCAAGAAGAGACACAGAGCTGTCAACATGAGGATTGTACACCCGAAGAGGACTATCAAGCATCTTCCCAGTCCCTCAAGACCTCGTTCTCGATATGGTTTCCTGTTCTCAAGCTGCTAGAAACCTCTCTGCCAACAGAGTCCACYGTTCAGTAATGAAGAGAGCTATCAAGGACCCCGAAATTGTCAACGAATTCTCATATTGACAGCTCTGGAAGACATTCTTGCAAGTATTCTGGTGCGATCGCCAAATACTCGTCTCCCAGGAACATGAACACAAGAATGGGCACTACCAAATGTTGATGCTCTCATACATCGGACTACAAATTCGGCCGATTTTTGCTACTTTTCGCACCTTTGGCAAGTTGCCGTATCATGAGATCGAGCATAACATCTTCACTACCGCCAGGGATGCGCTGACCGTTGATTTCACGCCATGCTCTTTCCGCAATGCTCCCCGGGCCGTCTTTACTATACGCGGATCCTCCGAAAAGTACGACCGCGCAATCGGCACATTCTTTCAGGACGGCGCCTGCGTTGGCCTTGAGGCCTGCAACGAGGGCTCCAATCTCGCCATCAGCCCTTGATTTGGTCATKTTGTCTATCTGGAAGACTGTCTGCTCGATCCATGCCCACTGCGCTTCGAGCTGAATGCCGGCCTTTGCTAGACGGTTTCGTACGACGGGCTGGTCCATGAGCGAACCACCGAAAGCTCGTCGTTGCAAGCAGTGTTCGAAGGCGGCAGAAAGTACTACGCGGGCTTGTCGAGTCGCGCCAATAGCAATGGTAAGGCGCTCGTGATTGAAGTTGGTCATGATGTATTTCATGCCTTGACCTTCAGTCCCGACCAAGTTGGTGACCGGAACCTTCACGCGGTTGAATTCAATCTCAGCGACGCCATTCGAAAGCTGGCCAGCCATGTTCAGACGCTTCACCGTCACGCGGTCTTCATTCTTGAGTGGCACGATGACCAGAGAGATCGCCGACATGCCAGCTTCTCCTGTCCGCACGGCTACTATAGCATGAGAACACCATGCAGCGGTACTTATCCACATCTTCTTCCCATGGACAATGTAATGTTGTCCGTCTGGGGTTTTGTCGGCTCGCGTCCTAATGTTGGCAACATCTGTCCCGCCCTCAGGCTCGGTGACCGCCATGCAGATCTTCTTGCGACCCCAGAACAGATCGGCGAGGAAGCGTTGCTTTAGTGGACCATTGCCAAAACGGAGCAGACAGGGTACTCCAAATCCGGGCGAAACGTTGATGGTGCATGATGGTCCACAAATCCCCGAAGCCATCAGTTCGTCGGTAAAGATCAGATTGTGGAAGGCGGAAAAGTCTTCAACCTTGACAACGTCCAAGATGCTGTGAATACCTGCCGCTTTGAGCTCGACTACTGGAAGAGGCGCTGGTATGGCTGGCACGAGCATCTTGTTCTTCGCAAACGTCTGGAAAACATGGTCAGGCACTTGGCCTTGAGCCTCCCATTCAACCGCATGTGGTGTGAAATGAGTCGTGATGAATGCTCGACATGCGCGTTGCCACTCCTTGAGCTCTGGAGTAAAGTATGGCGAAGGCTGACCGCTCAAGTACGGAGGCTCCTTGAATGGGGATGAATTTGTGGATGCCATTGTCTTGTCCTGCTCTGCTGACGACAAAACCTTCTTCCCAAGGTAAGCAGCAACCTCACAAGGTCTAGGTATATCGTCAGATCGACCTCTCGGGCCGACTGGTCCCCCGTCGGTCCGAGTCGGTCTAAGGTAGTTGTACAACAAGAATACCTCGAGAGCCTCGACTTCTTACAGAAAGGTAAGCAGAAAGCTCTTCCCAACTCTTGAAGGTGCGAGTCTTTGTCATTTTATCACCATGTCCAAGTACATTGCCAGAGCAGAAGTTGCCCAGCACAAAGATCTTGACGACATATGGATCATTATTGACTGCGGAGTGTACGACCTAACCGATTTTGTGGATGCGCATCCTGGCGGGTCTGTCGCCTTGAAAGAGGTCGCCGGAAATGATGCTACGGAAGCCTTCTACAGTCTGCATCGTCATGAGATACTGAAGAGGTATGCCGGTCTGAGGATAGGCATGGTGCCCGATGAGACGCCTGCTATTGTTGTTCCCGGTCCCGGAGAGTTGAGTTCTGTTCCCTATGCCGAGCCATTGTGGCTCAGTAAAAAGTTCAACTCACCCTACTATAACGACAGCCATCGGCGATATCAGAGGGCTCTACGAAAATTTGTCGAGGAAGAGATGACGCCGGAAGCACTGCAGAAGGAGCAAAGTAGGGAGTATATCAGCCAGGAACTTACTGATAAAATGGCCGACAACAACATCCTCGCCTGTCGTCTTGGGCCTGGCAAGCATCTCCATAACAGAAAGATTCTGGGGGGTGTCGTAGATGGACGGGAATTCGATTGCTTCCACGACCTCATTACCTGCCAAGAAATGGCCCGTATTTTGCAACGAGGGTTCCAGGATGGGAACTTCTCGGGAATGTCAATCTCCCTATCGGCTGTAAATTCATGGGCCAAAAAGGAGTTGAAAGACAAAATCTTGAGTGAGGTCTTGTCTGGCAAGAAGAAAATAGCCTTGGCAGTGACAGAGGCGTACGCTGGATCTGATGTGGCTGGCATCAGGACGACCGCGGAATTGAACGGCGATGGCACGCATTACATCGTCAATGGGACCAAAAAGTGGATTACAAATGGTATCGCTACTGTCTCAGTTTCACATTCCCACGACCTAGCTAATTTCATGACAGCCATCTTTTCAGATTATCTTRTCACAGCTTGCAAGACCAAAGCAGGCTACACAGTTCTTGTCGTGCCGAAAGACTCCACCGTAACATGCAGAGCAATCAAGACCGCATATTCATCTACAGCGGGAACAACCTTTGTGGAGTTCAACAACACCAAGGTACCACGCGGCTACCTCCTCGGGCAAGAAGACAAGGGGTTTGAAGTCATAATGAGCAATTTCAATCATGAGAGATGGATGATGGCATGCATGGTAACCCAAACCGGGCGCACAGTGGTGGAAGAAAGCCTTGAATGGGCACACCAACGGCACGTCTTCGGCGCACCTCTCATAAAGCAGCCAGTGGTGCGCTCAAAGCTCGCAAGAATGATCAGTCTCACCGAGGCCAACCAAGCCTGGACCGAACAAATTACTCGCCAAATGAAGGAGCTTTCGTATCATGATCAAGCCAAGTACTTGGCTGGCCCCATCGCCCTCCTCAAAACATTCACGACTCGTGGAGCACACGAGATTGCGAATGATGCTGTACACATTTTCGGTGGCCGCGGTCTCACGCAGACGGGAATGGGTCGCGTGGTTGAGATGTTCAGCCGCACTTACAAGTACGATGCAATTCTTGGTGGGAGTGAGGCAGTGCTCGAGGATCTTGCTGTTCGACAGGCAACAAAGCTCATGCCAAGAGCGGTGTTATAGGCATGTTGTACACTACGTGTCATACCAAAGGTCTGCAGATGGGCTGCTGCTTTCCCGTGCACGACACCCTCGCTGAGAGCTAATAGTCCAGCCTTCCCATAACGCCAATGCTTCCACATGACCTACTGCTACTGCCACTGCTACTGCTACTGCTGTATCATCAGTCGAGTGTCCTGGCATTCAAACGCCGCACCCGTTACGCTTGAGATTGACACAATTTATCAAGTCGGTTGTCCCCTCGCTGGACATCCACGATCTTTCGCTTTTCAAACTATACGGTATGCATTTCATAATATACATGCGGCATTATAGCTTAGCAGAAATCTTCGCACAGATAGAGGACACAAAGCCCGCCGTCCGGGACTTTGTCAAGAATGGCGGACGCTACATTGGCATCTGTCTCGGTGCTTACTTCGCTGGTGATACTTCTGGCTTTGATCTCATGCCTAAGGGTGTCGAGGTTACTCAGGAGATCAACCAGCCAGGAGCCGAGTACGACGACGAGCGCGATGTCCTTGGACGTATCGACTATACGTTCTTCACCGGTGACAAGGCCGGTCAAACTGTCAAGGATCGATGGATCTACTTCCAAGATGGCTGCGTGGTAAAAAACTTCAAGGAACCTGACGATCAGATCGTCCTTGGTTGCTACACTACCAACAACGATGTTGCTGCCACCTTGAGCAAATTTGGCAATGGCTGGGTCGATACTATCGGACTTCACCCTGAAGCTGATGATAGTTGGTGTGAGTTACAATTTTCTAAAGCACCCACACGAGAGAAGCTGACGGAAACAGTCGAGAGCGTAGGGATTGATGCTCCGGACGGTCTGCAGTACGATATTGGCTGGGACGTCATCGAGGCGACCATGTTAGGTGCCTATGGCGAGAAACAAGCTGCCAGCAACTCGTCCACCAGCCAACAACCGTCCAGCACATCATCGACAAGCGATCCGACGACCGCTGAGCAATCGGGCAGCTCACAGTGCAGTTCTTCGACTATATGGTTTCTAGGTGCTTTGTATTTGACTGTACTCGCACTTTGGTAGAGTTAAACACACCAGCCGCTGTTCTTCTCGCGATCTATTCAGTGAAACACCACACTTTGTGAAAACCCTTTTGTTGCAGCTTGCATATCATCTGGTTACTATTGTGGAGGAGGCTTAGAGATGACGTATCGTTCAAAGTGTGTAAGGATTCAAAGTTGCCATTGWCATCCTTCAGGATCAGGATCGCTTTGGGAGAAGTGACTCACTAGTGATTCTCGATATTCCAGCTTCATTACCTGTATACCTATTTTCTTACATTACCGCTTAGACAACAGCATCGTCGCCAAACTCATCAGCGATGTCTTCCCAACCAAGTTTCTCAAAGCTCTTTGAGCTCCCCAAGGAGATTAGAGAATTGATATACACACATTACCTTACAAGCGATGACCTCGTCACGGATCGACCCAAAGGAGGACCTATCGAGCCACCAATAACCATGACAAGTCGATTACTACGCAAAGAGACATTGCCACTCTTCTACCGTCTGCGTCCTCTAAAACTCCAAACAGACGCCTGGGGTGGCTCGCACGCCATGATGTACGACTGGCCCTGCTGGCTGCCTCGACTCGGCAACAAACTAGCACATGTCCGTACAATTGAGTATACTTTTTTCCTGGGAGGACGATACGGACAACCACCGTTCATCATAACATATACGATAACGCTCAGCAAGCGGCGGAACGACTACAATATCGAATGCACATTCTTCGGTACTCCTCCAGACGACGACCGCGCGAACCCGGGAAATTTCGAGTCGGATCGCAAAGCGATATGGCAGCGTCTTGATCGCGTTCTGGGGCGCTTTGTGTCGAGGAGACAGATTGGTCGTCTCAAAGTGAAGGACTTTGAAACGATCGTGGATGTGTGCCTCATACTGGATTATGTTTGCTTCAAAGAGACAACAGGGCGATATTAGCCAATTTGCAGCCGATAGGATGCCAAATTTGACTGTCATTCAGCGTATGACTTGAAAACGCAGATGATATCTTACCTCCGCTCTCCATAGAACATGTGTCACCCAGAATACTGATGCCCGAAACCCAACTCCCTGCATCTTCTTGACATGTCTTGATTCTCGAAAATGCATTGCCATAGAAGGATGAGGGCCATTAAAGCAACCGGGCGAAAAGAAAGCTTTGTAACGTACCTGAGACTGACAACAACTCGCTGGAGAAACATCAAATCCGTCGACGCCGTCCGATTGATGTATCACCGCTTTCTGACCATAAGGTACAGAGGACCAGCTGGGCTTCTCTGTCAGGGACAGCTATTTCGACAATTAGCGGCTCCACAGTGAACTTGGAAAGTCTCGTGCTGGCGAAATGACAAATGTAGGAGCTTATACGTACTCTCACTCTTGCTGCGTGGGTATCTCGTAGGGCTCCGAGTTCCTCGCGCAAAGTTCTTCAATGCGCTCTTGCAGAACACGTGTCCTCTCTAGTATCTCTTCTCGCGTCAGCACTTCTTGCTCGCTGCCGTGATCCTCCTCCTCATCATCATCGTCTTCTTCCCTGGAAAGTACATGCGTCATGTCCGTGTCCTCATCTTCATCTTCATTTTCAGCGTAGCCAAAAACATCTTCCATCGCTTCATCGCTCGTCTTTTCGCCCCTTTGATSGCCCAATTCACTTATCTCGCTGCCTGAATCGCTTGCCGGGGGACTTGATGTGTTGACAAAGCCGTTCCCTGACTCGTCGGCGTGGATTCCAGGGGTGTAATCAGCAGCAGTGCGGTCAAATTGCGACTGTCTGCGATACTCCTCCTCTGGGCGGTAATACTCCTCCATGTCGAAGCGCGCTGTGAGGCCCTTCTTTGGTCGCCGTCTCATAGAAGATTCCGGAACCAATTCAAGATTCATGGAGCCTTCGGTCGCTTGATCATGCGGCGGCACGCCACGCTCAGCCTGGGCACGCTCCGCCTGCCGTTTTCGATCCTCGACATGCGCCAGATGCGCTTTATCGCAACGTATTTGGGCTGCACGCAATGCTTGTCGGTCGCCGTCTGGGTCTTGCGCTTCTGTCAGTCGCTGAACCTCAAGAATGGCAGCTTCATTCTCGGCGGCGATTTCACGTGATTTTGCGCATGGCCCGCAGTAACGTATCGCAAAATCGATTCCGTTGACAGAATGGGGCAGCTCGGAAGATGAGCGGATGGGGTGTAGACAAACCGACGCAGTGATTGTGCGGAGCATGGCGAAAATGAATGCGTCAAAGTACTGCGAGTTTCCACGGGTGTGGTGGAACAAAAGCAGCGAGATGGATGGGAGGCCAATAAATGTCATCGTGGGATCGGGAGATGCGGCGATAAAACACTAAGATCTTCGTGCACGCCTTCACTGCTGTTTCGACTCGACGTGACTAGAACGTTGTGTGCAGTGAATAAGACTCGCCATCTGAGATCCTGAGGTGCAGCAGAAGAACAATTGCACAAGGTCAGAACAAGACGGGGAAACGTTTTGCTGGGAAAAGAGGGCATGAACCTGCCAGGTCTTACAACTATCACAGGAGGAAGGAGACAGCCGGGAACAGCGCAGTGGTTTTCGGATGCTGCGAGGGAAGGGCACTTGATTGTCTACGCGCTGCCGCCAGTTAAGAGCCTTTCTTCACCGACTGAAGGTAGATGGATGTATGCTAGTCATGGAGATGTAGCAARGTGGTTGCTTCCCATCTCGGTGTGGAGTCTGGAGCACTGAAGGCCGCTCTAGGAGCTCGGTCGCTACTAGATCGCGTGGGGATATACATGTCCCATCTCGAAGACGGGGCGATAGAGTCGCATCATGGTCGGTGGATGGGGTTCCAGCGATGTGGGAGCAAGGCATCAACTCGAAGCATTTGCGTGAGATGGATGAGGGCGGAAGATGCGAGGTGCACGTGAAGTGAAATGAAGTGAAGTGGAGTAGTGAACGATCTGGATTGTACAAACTGCGCACGGGCCATTGTAGCCCTGCGTCAACGGCAGGAAGGAACGCCACCTCAGGGTTCCAGGATCCAGAAATCGAGGCAGGAGTGTTCTCAAACACGGCAGTCGACAACAGACTTCGACATCGCCTTTGCCATCCACAATCCTATTTGGTCATCCTTGTCTATAGCCAAGATGCCCGTGTCAGTCACTACCGCGACCATCTCGCAACCCGCGACCACCACGCCCCGAAGCAGAAGCGAGAAAGAGACGGTGACGTTGCCGCAAGAGCAGGCTCCCTTCAATGGGAAGAAGGCGAAGAGTGCATCAGATGACTTCTTTTGGACATATACCGAAGAGCCGCACAGGACACGAAGACAAGCAATTATCAAGGCACATCCCGAGGTCAGCCATGTCCCAAGATAATCTTTCTCAAAGCCATGCTGAACCTTCTACAGGTCCTCAAGCTCTGCGGACCTGAGCCATTGACCATTCTTGTTGTACTGGCTGTTGTCAGCTTGCAGATCGCATGTGCATATCTTCTTAAAGATTCTGCCATCTTGTCATGGCAATTCATGCTCACGGCATATGTGATTGGAGCCACCGCGAACCAAAACGTCTTCTTGTCAATCCATGAAATCTCCCACAATCTGGCCTTCAAATCACCCACGGCCAACAGACTCTTCGCCATTGTTGCGAATCTGCCGATTGGGATTCCATACTCGGCATCATTCCGCCCGTATCATCTCACCCACCACAAATCTCTTGGAGTCGACGGCCTTGATACGGACCTGCCAACCGCTCTTGAAGCTTGGTTCTTGGACTCTGTTGGCGGCAAAGCCTTTTTCGCTACATTCCAAATTCTTTTCTACGCTCTGCGGCCAATGATGGTCTACAGTCTCCCTCTGACCGCCATCCACGCATTGAACGTTGTAGTGCAGCTCGCCTTCGACTTCGTCATTGTCAAATACTTTGGCGGTAAGGCCATGGCCTACTTCATTATGAGCTCTTTCCTGGCAGGCTCCCTTCATCCATGTGCAGGACACTTCATTGCTGAGCACTATGTGTTTTCTCAACATCAGCGCCAGCAAGAAGCAGCTTCCTCGTCATCCGCCAAGCTTGCTCCACCACCAGAGACGTACTCCTACTATGGCATCCTCAACGTCCTCACATTCAACGTTGGACTGCACAATGAGCACCATGATTTCCCAGCCATTCCATGGACCCGGCTATGGAAACTGAACCAGATTGCGAACGAGTTTTATTGCGATCTTCCATGTCACCATAGCTGGACCTGGGTCATCTGGCAGTTCATCACGGACAAAGAGGTTGGTCTCTGGTGTCGAGTCAAGAGGAAGGAAGGTGGTCGAAAAGTTGGTGGAATTGAGGGTGCCAAGCAACATGCTCAGCCTGTTGACCTCGTGCTTTGAGCGATGCGACACACCCGGTGCTCACCACAGTATAGACACGTACAGATGATGAATACGCTATGATGAGTTCTTTGAAACTTGAGTCTTTACCAGCCTATCCCAATGCTATGAGCGTCGAGCACACTAGAGGGAGTCGTGAGATTATTGCCTCTCACATCRTTTTGGTACCAGTGTTAGGGTTGGGGTAGTGTAAATCTTCGATGGCAGGCAGTCTTGGTCTGAATCGATGTCACAACTCCTACCGTTCGACAGCGATAGTTTATAGCAGCATGATTCTCTAAAACGGCATGTGCTACTTTTGCATATCGACTTTTTCACATAAATTCCTCCATCCGGAGCGGACCACAAATCGAAACCCGACTTCGATATGTTGTTCAGTTGAGCTGGGGGTAACTTAGACTTCTTCGCCCGGCAACGGACAATTTAACCGCAGTGCTACGATTCAACAATTTACTCTCCCTTCATTTCCTGACATGTTGTATCGACAAAGGAAACGCATCATCACACCAAGATGCCGCTATTCTCCCTTTCTGCCCGACCTCACGACATACGAACACCTACTCGGAAATCAACGCTAGTCACACCCAGGTTTGCTCGCTAGAATACTAGCATCTCAACTTCAAATCAAACCTGGTCGACAACTAGGGTCGATCATACCAGGGCGGAAGAACCAGCCCCATGTCAGCCATGTGTCTTTCATAGGGATGACATAAGCATATTCCCTGTAACGAGATCTCAAGACCACGCAGACTCCGGCATTTGACGGACTTTGGGCTGTGGAACAAACAGTGCTGGCATGTTTAGGCTGTTTTGCTACTTTATCCATGTCTCGTCAGGACCACTCTGTCCGTATCTCATCTTATTCAAGCTCATGTCATGTCTTATGACGCCAAATCTGAGCTGCTCATGCAAAGTGCTTGATCAAAACAATCTGGAAACCGTATGCCATCACAGTCAGTCATAGTGCAGAAGGAGGCGTGGTTTCCAAGCAGCCGCCCTCTTAAATGTCGTTCCAATTCGTTCCAGGATTGTTCATAATGAGTTCTGTGGAGCCTCGTCATCGCCCACATTTGCCGTCTGGGTAGGACGTTCTGCTACCCCTGCTCGCCATAGTCAAAAGTCTCATGATCTCGACATCTCATGATCCGTACCATGGGCATCGTGAAAGCCTATTACATAACATCATTCACCTCGCGTAATCACATCCCAGCATCGTTCATTTCATTGGGATTGCTGACTCTGGCCGGGAGGAACGATGATACCGTCCTTGCAAAGCACAGCAATCTGCTTGAATAGGCGTCGCCAGCCCACCGGATCGCCCTTGGCTTTGACAAAACGCACTTCCAGCACGTCCAAATTGACTTGGCCAGGAACGGGGATCCGCTCGACCAAAACATGGCCCTGCAAAGGTTGTTGACGAGAATCCAAAGTCTTGACACGCAGGGATACGACCGGGTCCTTTCCCTCCAAGGCACTCGTGGGTGGCTCCGCGACGGGTATGTTCAAGCGATGCATGGCAGTCAGCAGCATTGGTAACAGCTGCGCAAATGTCAGCATCGAGAGGAATCGCGCCAACGAATGCGAGGGCACGATGTCCTTGAATTGTCTAGCGACCTGGGTCAAGGTGAGCGGGACGGATGGCGTGGCAGAAAATTGAGACATGGAGGGATCCTCCGAAAAGAGGTCGTGAATGTTATTGATGTTGCGTGTTGACGCAGGCGCCGGACAGTTCTGATCAGTTTGTGGCTGGGAAGCGCTGACACCCAGCCGCGGCGGTGCCTCCCAATCGAAGGGTGCATCAGCAGTGGGTGTTTCCGGCTGAGTGGCTGCTAAGTTTGCCTGGCCAGGCTGCTGGGAAGCGCTACTGTCGACATCCATTGGATCGCCCTGTGAATGGCCGCGAAATGGATCGCTACGTTCGCGCTGTGACGACTGCACCGGTGCGCTAAAGTCGATCCGCAGGCTCTCTAGCATTTGCGTGGCCAAGCCGACCGGGTTTGCGGCCTTGCCTTTGGCGTTGAGATGATCATTTGGTCGTGTGTACCAGAGGTGCTTGCGTACGCTGTCAAAGGTGAAGCGCTCGGCGTGATCAATGTTCAGCATGCCGCGCAGTAAGCTCAACGCTGCCGAGGGTACCCTCTCCCAGAGCTCGTCCGCGGGGTGGCCTTTGGTTGTGACGTATTCGTGATACTCGTAGCTGTCGGCCATGACCGGCGCATCCCATGGTGTGTTGCCAACGAGCAGCACGAACAGAACGATAGCACAGCTCCAAACATCCGCAATCTGGGGATCGTAGCCCACCTTCCCCTCGCCMTGTTTGCGCTTTTGGTTCGCTTGACCGACGTCCAGAATCTCGGGAGCAATGTAGGGCGGACTGCCGCACACCATACCGCACGTCTTGCGTTTTCCCGTCCGAGGCTCATGGAACATGGTGGCCAGGCCAAAGTCGGCCAGCTTGAGATCACCCTCGCCGCTTAGCAGCATGTTCTCTGGCTTGATATCGCGATGCGCCACACCTTTGCCATGGCACCAGCTGATCGCGCTGATCAGTTGTGCAAAGTAGAAGTGTGCAACGTCCTCGCCTACGCCGGCGTCGGCCTCGATCTTGTCGAAGAGGTCGCCGCCCTCTGCCAGCTCCAATGCCATCCACACCCACGCTGCATCACTGCCGTTACTGATGTAACGAATGATGTTCTGATGAGGGCACACATGTGCGTGCAGCGAAAGCTCGAGCTCGAGTTGCTTGGGACGTAGCTTGCCGGCGCGAAATGCGTGCTCTTTGTTGATGAACTTGATGGCAATCACCGGCGACGACTTGGTTTGGGGTACCGCTTTACGAATCGAGGCATATGCGCCACAACCGATCGTCTTGGATATGATACGGAAGGGGAGATCTATGGGCAGAGGAACGGACTGCGACTGTTGGGAGGAAGTGGTTGTTAGCGAATCGATAGCAAAAACGTTAGCCGGCAGGTTGAGACGAGATTAGCCATGCGAGAATAACTGAAGGTGACCATAGATATCGCACTCACATCTGACGGTGGCCCTCCCATCCTCGGCGTGGGCTTGAGAAATCACAGTGAGTGTAGGAGGTGGGACGTCTTGTGGAGTTGAGATGATGTTGACGTGGGATAGCCGCGACGCGTAGCGCGTCAATTCYCGCGCGATTCAAAGTAACTAGCGCTACCTGACGACATCTGCAGGCTGCAGCAAACACAACGAATGGAGTCCTAGAACGATGTGGGCGCATTGGGAGATGAGGCGGCAGCGAGCACCGCAAAAACAATCCAGTCATCATCTCTCAACGTATATACATCACATCGAGAGCACATGACGTTGGTGTGATAATTTTGCATTTACATGCTACGCAGGCGTAGCAGCACTAGTGGTTTACACACGCATAACTATTGCTCTTGTCCAGAGCGCCATGCTTGCAAATAGCCACCTCACATGACCCATCCGAGGCCAACTGTCACGCCTCTTAGGTCCTCATTAGGTCCATCCCATGCCCAAGTCGTAGCTAGCAATAATATCGTACCTTCGATCTGTGGATCGAAAGTTYGCATTGTCCAACCCTGTCTCGTTGCGCATCGTAAAGTATGAATCAAGAACGTAAAGAAAGAAACACGCCCTTCGCAATGCAAGAAAGAATAAAGGGAGTCCGCTCCTCGCTCCGTAACGCCAGACGCTGGTCAAATCAGGCAAATCCTAGCCACCTGTTGTTGGGGTATCGTGGACCCAGTATGCCGCATTTGGATTCCGATCAGAAGCCGATGAACTGCCATGTGGCAGCTTGATTTCCACAGCCTTTTACAAGGGGTGCTGCGTGGAACAAGCACCGGCGGGGGAAAGAAGATTGTGACCCAGGATCAAGCCTGATGTCGTGTGCGGCGTAGAGTAAGCACGCCCGGCGGAGAGATCAATACAGAGGTCACGGTGCCAAGACGTCTGAGGATCGAGCCGTGGGTAGGTCAATAGGCCGTAGCGCCTAGCTACGCGTTGTCGATGCATGGTTGGCAAGCATGCTCTCGAGATTGCGTTCCTTCAGAACAGAAGCATACTTGGGCTCTCGCGAGAATTTAGGCACAGAGTCCTGCAACGTAGAGTCAGTCAGCTGAGCGTTTTGAGAGTCCAGCAGTAGATAGAACTTACGCTTGCCATGAGTTTGAACACGCTATTTTGTGCCTGATCGAACAAGGTCGCCACTTCGTCCAAGCTCACAATCATCTTCTCGTCTTCCCCTATCGAGCGAGTCATGCGTCCGGCTAGGGAATTCCGCAAGCTATGGTCGATGTTCAGCTCGCATGGCGAGCCGGGTGCAAGGAAGGCGTTGTAGAGGCTGTACGCTGAGGCGAGGGTCTCCCTGATCACATCGGGTTGTGGGGTGGTGGACCCACGCTTGGCCCGTTCGTAGTCGGCAAGAAAAGATCTCACTTCGAGGTAAAAGGCTAGATTTTCCTCGCAATGCGTTTCGCGGAGGTATTCGCGGAAAAGAAGTCGAAGTGCTGGATCACGCACAATGACCGCCATACGGTTCGTGTTGGAGTCTCGTACAACACCAGCCGCTGGTCGATGGCTTGCAGACGATTCGCCGTTCATCAGTTCCTCGGAGATGGCGCTCCACCCAGCAGTCCGCTGGCCTTTGTGCGTAACGGCGTAGAAGACGTGTTTTGATGCCACGAATCGATGTGCTGAGTTTGCCACCTGACTGCTGTGACGATCTTCACCAGCCGGTTCGATAAAGGCATGCTGGATGAACAAGTTGGCAATCTCGAAGGCCTCCCGTTTGTCGACCGTCGTGCAACAGTCCATGAGCCAATCGAAAGCAGCCTTGCCAGTAAATACGGGTGCATCTCTGTTGTCGCCACGCCTGATCCTTTGCATTTTGATGCCCGCGACTCCCGTTGAGAAGTCGTTCTGTGAGTCGGTGTCATTGGATGTCGTTGGCGATTTGACGTTCGGGCCCTGCGGGCCAGCGAAGCGCCGGAAGATGACATCCACTGTTGCTCGATCGTGGACAATCATGTCAGTTTCGGGGTCTCTCTCCAGGATGACAAGCTGCATCGTATTCCGCGGCGAGTCGAGAAGATCGTTGACGTGCCTCAGGTGGATACCATTTCTTTGACAAAATCGCGCCAAAATGTGCATGCCCTTAGGCGTGAGCTGCCAAACAGTGCCCTTTGAAGTGAAGTCGGTTTTGCCATCGAGAGACTCAACGAGCCTTGCTTCCACAAAACGACTGCATACTGAACGGGCCATTTCCTTTGCCATGGAAAAGGTGGTCGTTGTGGTTGTYGTCACAATCCGGGAAACATCTTTTGGATCAGGCATGCGATTTGATTGAGAGAATTTGAGAGAGCCAAGATTGGTCACGGCTTCTTCGCTGGTAAAGGTGTGGTCTATTCGAGAGAATCRAACTCGATGTGGTGTCAGCGGCAAGCTGACYATGAGCGTAGCGAAAAGGTCCTTGAAGTCCTGCCAAATGTGTGAGCTTTTGTAAACTGTGCGGGCCCCGTGGCATTGCGCCACGAAGCCATGATTGCCCGCGCGTGTAGTGTGCATCATGTAATTCACCAAGGCAATGGAAAGTGCAGAGGAGGAGGGATGACGAGAAAATATACATCATGAGGCACGCCGTATCGAATTGCCGGTAGATTTCTGTGACACGTGGACGGCACGCCGAAACACGAGATGTGGAACGTACCCTTGTGAACGGCCGCATGTCGTCCGTCATGCGGAGCAACTTGGAAGATGTTTGGTGCATCGTGCGAGGGCTACGGCGGAGCAGCTTCTCGTACTCGTCAACGTCTGGGTAGGTGTCGTACTCTTTCTCCGCTTCCATCCAAGTCGCAGCGTCTGCGATTCGAGGGCGCTCTCCACCGGGCCTCGTGGACTTTATACGCGGTGCTACGGTATCGGAGAGCTGGGTCTCAGAGGATGCGTTGGAGTAGCTAGAGGCGTTGGATGGCGGCTGAGAGCTGGTGTCGGAAGGCGAGACAGGCACTCGCGGCAATGTCTCGCCTTGAGAAAGCACTTCTTCGGTCTGTAGAATCCCGCGAAAGCGYCCCAGGTACAAGGAGGCCAGACGAGAGTGCGCACGGGGCTTGCTCGTGACCACTGGTCTCGCACGGGAATCCACCGTGTCTGATGTGAGGTGGGAATTTGGAACTTGGGATTTTGTAGGTGCCAATCGAGATTGCTACCTAGGATGCTAGAGTGTGATCGATATTCGTGGTGGGTGAGGAATGCGGGCGTTCGCTCTCCTGCCAACCGGTTCGGATGATGAGCACGAAATGTCGTCCGGGAATTGGCTCGAAGACGTGTGAATCCGTAGCAAACACTTTCTCCACGCCAGATGATAGTGGGAGCCGTCAGCAGCAGAGACGAGGGAAGGATGAGGTAAGTAGAATGCAATAATGAGTGGGCCGCCTGTTGCTAAAGTGCAAAGCCCGCAAGGGTCGAGCCTGTCGGTGCTCAGCAGCACAACGACACAGGCCCCCAGTCGATGGGTGGGTCCTGATCTCGCGCACGGCCGGCAGGCAAGGATGCGCACCTCGTGGGCAGTGGATCCAAAAAATAAAGTGGATCGCAGACTTCGTGCCAACCGTCTCGCGACTTTGCGGCCGAGGCCCGTGCGCTGTCGTCGGCTTTGCGCACCGTGAGCAGCCGTATTTTGTCGCCCGATTGAGGATGGACTGTACCTTTTACCTGGGCCCAAGCTCTGGCCGGCAGTTGCAGCCAGCACTCACGACTCGCTCGACACGCTGCGCGGTGGACACGACGCTGGACGACCGGTAGCAGGCAAAATTCTCCGACGTGGACCGTTGTGCGAGGGCAGCAAGTGGCAGCATTCGCGCGGCGGGTACCGGGTACACACAGGCTGACCGTGTGCGTCGCTCTGCCGGCCTGTCCTTGTGTTTCACCATGCGCTGAAATGCAATGCAGGCATTGGATACCCTTGTCAGAGTTACCAGGACGGCCATGCGACGTGATGCTCACGTTGTCCACGTTGTCCGCTGCCTGCCGCCCGCTGCTCGCTACCTGATTTCTATCGGACCGCCATGGAACACTCTATGATTGCCGGTATCATGTCGTTCGCACGTGGCACAATTCTACCTCCATGAACGTCGCTAGAACGACGGGTACACACTACTATGGAAGCTCATCTCTTCCTCCGTGGTTCTTCACCGACACACTCACGCTTGTCCGAACTGAGCAGCTGCAAAGGCACTATCAACAATCAAAGCCTGACTGAGAGGCTGGGGCTGTCAGCCTTGCTATCTTCGAGAATGAGATGAAGTAAGCTTTGTCCCCTCGACGAGAAGACTCATCAACGACAAACGCCGCTCTCGATATGGAGATTGCTCTTTCCCATCATCACAGGTTTTGCGGATTGAGTTCAAACGAATACTGAAGCTTGAGAAATGAGCTGCAACTCTGATGTGTCAAGGATCCAAGGGCCTGTGGATGCAACGCTGCGGAGATTCATCTTCTATTACTCATAGAAAGTTTGAGGAAGGATCTCCGTGCACGACGCTTTGAACAAAACGAGTCATTGGAAGTGCTGCAATGCGGTCTCGTTGTCACAACGTGTTCATGAAGAGTGGAGTTGCCATGTATATACATACCATGTAGGCCGTCGTACAAGACCCGAGACAATTGAAAATTGCCGTCCTACTTACCGCACTGAAAAATATTCTGCTCTCTACCACAACAACGGCACTATCGAGAAGACATGCGTTGAAGACATGTGGCTCTTCGCAACGCTGCTTATTCTTGTGCTTATAGCATCCTCTTAGCGAGCGTTGTCGTCGACTCACTAAAAGGAGAGCTCAATTTCACCGGCCAACTTATCATGGAACAAGGTGCGTCGGCAATCTCTAGACGTGGACAAAAGTCTTAGCCGTCCATTATTGACGTGCCTGCTTCTTGTTTTGCACGTGGCAGCCCGGCGTGGCGTTTCGGGGCGCACAGCGTCAAACTCACTGCGGTCTTTCAGGTTCCTCCACCGCTTGCAAAGGCTTCACCTGGGTCCCGGCTCATGATGGCCAGACCGAGCGAAGGCGCCTCGACAAATTACCACTTCTGCAAGACGATGCTGCGGTTATGTAAAAGCTGACTGCAACGGAAAGGCTCTTGGCCGCCTTAGCCGTGATGGCGCCAGGATCGTCGACCGCTAGAAGGTTTCTCGAAGCTTTTCATCACACGTGAAGTGGAGATGTGCTCTGCAGCAGTACATCATTGATCACGCTACTGCGCATACCGGCCTCCTATAGGCTGCGGACTGCATTGGCGTGTGTGCCCAAAGAGGCAGGAGCCAAGAGTGAAGTCTGTGGGCGGGCATGCCTGATTGTCGAGATTCCAGCCTCTCCACAGCAAAACGATTCTGCTCCGTGCATCATGAAAATCGTGTAAAGTCGGGCGACGCAACGACTTGCCCCGAGACGTGAAGGCGGCGGCGACACTGACACGACATGCTGTGTGCCGGGGACGTGCTTGCGCCGAGAAAGATCCCTACTGCCTCGTGTCTGAGATTGAGCTGCGGTGTTCGCTAAAGACAGCAATGCACCTAACCTCATTCAAGGCAGGCCGCTGGAATTTTCGGCACCCAAGTGATACGACAGCGGAATCACAGGTGCGAGCAACTCCGGTATGAGAGCACACGAAGCACAAAGTCGATGTACGCAAGGCGTTCTCGGAGAATTCTCCCGTCACAGAGAGGCCGAAACGGTGAAACGGCTGTCAGCCACCAAACGTGAGAGCCACGCAGTCCTCGAGCACCCGTGGACCACAAAATCATCACCCCGACCACAGATGATGTTCACGGGTGACTGTCATCAGAAGCCCTACCAGTGATAACAGGGAACCGCGGTTCCGTCTACGTCTTCGCCTGCAAGTCCACCAGGCTTGCACCGCTAGTATTCTAATGAATCATGACAACACTCCCAACTTCCCAGGTCGCCGGAGGCGTGTGAACGCCGGCCAAGCAATGGCCACGTGGAATCCGAGCTTTAGCACTTTGCCGACGCAGGCCCTGTGTTCTAGACCTGAAAGAGCATAGTCTGCTCTCTCTCCGGGCCATATCGTCCCTTGCAGTCGAATCAGTCTTGCTGCGCGATGTGCGAGATGCCGAGTCATGAGATTAAGCGATGCCCGAGTCGTGACCTTGCAACCACGTGGACTAGGCGGCCTGCCATGCAAGCGAAGAGACCGGATCTCGTCTTTGCAAGGGAGTTTTCCGTGAGCCGCTGACGGCTCGCCTCATGCGATAGTGCTCATTGCAGGCCTCAATCAGCCTGAAAGCACCATCGCATGCTGTCATCAGCTTGACTTGACATGCTCCAAAGTGCACCTCTTGCTTTCCAGCCATCAAATGAGGCACGATCTGTACCTAGGTCGCGCAAACATGGCATCGAGCTTCTGACCTGCAGCAACGACACCTCCACACTGTTACAAGCACAGTGATCCAGCACGATCAGAGCGCGATAACCACGGCCGACGTGGCTTTTTCTGGCGACAAACTCTGCTGACACTCGTCAGATACGCAGGATGACTCTACTATCTACAGGCAGTGTCTTGACCGCCATTACAAACGTGGAGGGGGGTTTCGGCGTCACTGTGGCCTTGCTCCCAGGTGGCTTCTCCTCCTGGCTTGACGAAGACAAGAAACCTCTAGAACGCTCCCGACTTTGTGTTCACATCGGTATGGTGTTCACATGGCTATACAGTACAAAGCATTGGCGCCAGGCGCACGTCCGATGTCGCTAAGAAGCTGACAATCGCTGCACGCAATGCTGAGGAAGAAAGAAATGCAAGCAAACCCCTACGCGTCGCCCGCCCGTGGCTGTGCCATTTCTGGAAGGTACAGTATCCGATGTCAGCTCGCTACCAAGACAACGTGCTATTTAACCTTCTTGCTCCTTCGCGACCCACATCTCTTTCACGTTTTTTCGCCTCGCGCTCGCGCTCACAGCTTCCCCTCCTTGCTGATGTAGGGCGTACTGCACCATGGAGATCATGGCCTACATATCGCTTAGCTGCAGCTGCACCGCCCGAACCGATCCAACCATGCTGATGCCCGTGTCACTATCACCAGCACGTTCCGATCAACTGGCGCCCTTGCTTCTATAGGGTTAATCCTTCGAGGACTCACCTGTCCAATCAACCTTCTGCCTAGGCACTTGGCTTAATGTCGAAGCATCCTAGAAGCGGAAATGCAAGTGAGTCCACATGAGCCGTCGGAACTCGACAGTCTATTCGTGGCCACGAGTCTCCAAATTACTACTGCATAATTCGACACAACACTATTCTAGGAGGGGACCGTCACATGCATGAACATTACAGCTGAAGATGTTCAGAGCATGCTTCCGAGCTCCGCTTCGCATTGGCCAAGTCACACTTTCGTCGAAGACGGTTCCGATCAGAACAATATCCCTAGCAGTCAATGCCTTATGATATCCTCTTCACCGAGATCTCAAAACTGCCCTGAGGACAAAGCCCCGTGATTCCGCAGCAAATATTACGCGAAGGATCGGGCACGAAGGATGGACTGCACGCCTGACGTGTACACTCTGCATACCATACGCAGCCGGTCGCCGTCGGCGCCGCCGCGAGAGATTGCAGCCAGCGACCACTCTGCGGAGCACACAGTGCCCAATGAAGAAATCCGGGAAGAGCGGGGCACTTGCTGGCCCGCTATGGTTTGCAACGGACTCTGCTTGTAGTTTGACGCCAGTCGGTTCATACAGCATGGAGTCACAGGCGAATACCCTCCATTCAATCCTGACTCATGTACAATCTCCGCTCAACGCTGACTTTTGATTGGCATGAATGACCTCTTCGACTAATGACACATGAAGATGATTCTGAGACGTCGTCGTGGATCAGATCAGCGTAGAGGCATTTCGGCGTGGTAGGATGCTGTACCTGCGGACGTCACTTGTACGAATTGGAAGGCGAGGGATTGGGAGATCGTCATCCTGTAGCGACATGAGGGCTCTGTGCTAGATCCATCAGGAGGACAAGCCTGTCCTGTGATACAACAGTTTCCCTAGCAGCACCTCTTCCAAGAAAGATCCTTGCATATGTATGCGCTGGTAATTCAAGACTGAGAACTTGTGCCTGCTGTGCATGGCGAGCGCCGGTAGCAAACGGTCCCTGCTCTTCTTGCACGACTTGTCGCAGCTCCAACGTCTGATCCAAGTTACATGGCACGGAGAGTCTGCGACTAGTTTCATGGAAAGAACCGGGACCTCTGCATCCAACCAAGATCGTCTTCGTACTGTGAGCCTGGAAGACGCACCGGAGTGCTCTGGAGAATCTATATGCCTGTTCATTAAGGATGGTGTCTTTCATTCGTGCCGCGGCGGTCAATCTCATTCCCCAGCCTGATGCTCGTAAATCATATCCACATGCTTGACGGGATGTAGCAGCATCGCAGGCAGACACATGCGTCCCTCATTCGCCATCTCCCATTCCTCTCCGCCATCATTGTCGACCTTGTATCCGAGCCAGCGTTTCCATAAGTTCGCCGAAAAGCCAGCATGATAGTACCAAGTCGTACCAAGAAAGTTGTGCTGGCGCTCATCGCTGAATACGGAGGTTCTCGCTCCTCCCGCAGCTCCGTTACGGCCGTTGTTGTAGACCGCTGCGAGGTACGAGGTAGGCCAGGCACGGTCGATGTAGACTGGATGCGGCGCATACACTGCTTTGTAACCGTGGTGCAATGCACAACTTCCAGGCCACATTTCCGAAAACATGGTGTGGCGATGAAGAGCGGTCTCTCGGTGCATGGTCTCCAAAAGGCGACGACTGAGGCGCGAGGCGGTAATTATGGCGGTGCGGCGTGGTGGGTATCCAAGGGTGGTGTTGTAGCCAGTCGTGTCCTCCGCGAGGATCCAATTAGTCCCATGTGGATCGAACAGTGGGTTGAAAGTGATGAAATCAGCTTGTTCATCCACACCCCATTCGTAATTATCCTTGTCATAGGTCGTTGGAGGTAGAGGGTCACTTTCCGGATCTGCAGTGGTGTCACCCTCGCCATCTGGCCGAAGTGGTCCCCATACAGGAGTCTCGTGGCTGTGAGTGGCCGCATCCATGGGGTTCTTCGTCCCAGCATCTGCTGCGAGCTTTGCGTAAATGTTCTCTTTGCTAGCGGTACCGTGTTCAGTCTGTACCCGCACCATCTGACGAAAGTCTTCCCAGCTACCATGCTCTTTTGGGACGTAGAATCTCCCGTTACGTTCCCAAAGACCTTTGCGTGGCTGTCTCTTCGCCCACTGCGAGACCTGTTCGAACAAGTGATAGAAGTGGCCGGTATATCGGATGTCCATCTCCCAATGCCAGAAGAAGTCATACTCGGGGTGCATATGTGCAAAGTACTGTACAGGCATATATGTACTTCTGTACGCTCCATGCACTGGTAGATCGCGGTACATGCTTTCTGGCACGCCGCCGTAGATCAGGCCCATCTGTCGCTCCGACCAAAGCGTCCCCATTCCACGGAATTCTTCAGGAAGAGCGCTGTCGAGCACACTTTGATACATCTCTTCATCGGCCCAAATCTGTTTATTGTCATCCTTGACATGGATCAAGAAATGTATGACGTACTCTGAACCACTTTGTATCGAGAGCTCATTCACCAGAGCGCGCAGGTAGAACATGTCTTCGGCATCGTATTCGTAGCCTGTCCAAGTGCGAATCAGCACAGCTGTGCGGTTCAGCAGGTGTTTGTCTTCAGCCTTCGTCGAAGTTTCCGTCTCTTTGGTGATGCTTTCCTTCTCTTTCTTCGGCCCACCGCTTGCCATCGACGAGAAGAAGTGGTTCAGACGTTGCTTCGGTGCAGGATTGAATCTCTGCGCATTATCTTCCATACAGCGCTGCTGTACCTCAGCCCACTTGATGTTCCTGTAATCCACCTCAAGCTGCCCGTTCCATACATGTTCTGCGCCATCTCGGTCGCCGTCCATGCCGGCGCTGCTGCCGCCAAACTTCTTGCTGTAACCAAATCCATAAGGCCCTAAACGACCATGTCGCTCAAAGCACACATCATTGCGAAGTCCGAAAAGCTCATACGAGCCCATAACCGGGTCGGGAAAGCCCTTGGTCACTCCCTCGTATCCAAGTATTTGTGGTGCCTCCAGCTTCTCCTTGACGTTCAGATAGCATTTGTTTGGTGCTGGATATCCTGCCCTCGGGCCATCCCCTTCATACTTGGGATATGGATCAAACTGTTTGGGTGTTGGTAGATCTCTCCTCTCAAAGCCCTTCTCTTGCTTCAGCGCTGCATCTGCATGCTTCTTCTGCTCCATTGCCAGTCGCTGCACCTCAAGATCCTCATCCACAGGGTACTCTGGCTGATTCTCAGACCGAGATACCAGTGTCCTAATTCCGCCATGATATCGTTTCAAAAAGGGAAAGCCTTCCCATGCCGGCGGAGGCGCAGGGGGTCTTGTCAAGCCCAGCTGCACTTCAGCCCGACTCACCCAGCTAGAGCGGACCAGGTAATAGATGAAGAGGAGCAATAACGTCGAGATTCCCAAGGTGAAGTATCTGCTGAAGCGCCTCCTCGGTAGATGGTATGCATATGTGGGTGCCCGAGTGGTACCTTGAGCGAGCATCGGCTGGTATGTGGACGATCTCATCGACGCCGACGCTTCGGATGTGTCTTCTGAAAGGTAGTGGTCGTGCGCTGGTTCCGCATCCTGCTTCTCCGGGTCGATCAACGCGCCCGAGAAGCTGCGATATCTGCTCATCCTGTACAATAATGCGAAAGTGCCCACAAGCAGTTGAGAAGCTGAAGCTCGCCAGCCTACTGCGCTAAGAGAATAAACAAGTTCGGGACGGGGGTTGCCTTGGCAGCCCCGCAAGGATCTTTGTCGTCCTTGTCTTCACCAACATCACATCGCAAGCACAATGCATCCGAGGTTCCAGTGTGCGATGATATCTAATAAACAGCACGAGCTCGGCCACTGTGCAGGAACGCAAGCCGTAGATGTCGAGTCGACCATCTCGAGACACACGGCAACATCCACATGAAGCGTCATGAGGAACGCTGATCGCATCCTTCGCGTTCAGCCCTTGGAGGCTATACCACACGGCATGGCGCAGCACTAGTAAGTTTTCAAAAGTTATAATACTAAACGAGGGCCAAGTATCACTATCCCATCGCTTCCATTCTGTTTTGGTGACATATTAAGCCGGCCAAAACCATGGCAGACCTTTCGAACGACCTCAAGATGGACAGACCTCCTACCTACTCGTCAACAGACCCGACCGCCCATACTTTACATCAGTTCCAACAAAAGAGCGAAGCACGACCAGACGACCCTTATGAAGTAGAAATCCACGCTTCCAGCAAAGGAAGCCCGTCATTCCAGTTGAAAAACAAGGGAAATACCCTGTATTACGTCGGCCACTATCAGAAAATCGACACTCCAGACTTGATACTGTACGCCGGATATGACAAACATGGTCCACAGCTCGCACAGGCATCCTTCATTCCTGACAGCAAAGACCTCAAAATCTACATTGGTGGCCTGAAGACTCCCGCCAAAGATGACTGGGATATTGTAAGGTCTGCCGGAGGAGGGATGTTCAAAGATCCAAAYCATCGTTTCGAGACCAAGAGTAGCAACCCTGCTGAGAGAAAGACCAAGTACTACTGGACAAAAACTTCAGATCGCAAACTCGGAGCCTCGCGGTGGTCGCCTAGAGACTACAAGCTGGTCCGGGAAAGCGACGAGGAGGTCATAGCGGTGTACGCTGAGCGTCACATGGGCTCTTGGAGCATGAAAGGAACCATTCTCTTTCGCGAGAAGATGAACGAGTTCGCGGAGATGGCGTCGATGATGGTTCTTCTTTCGCTACTTGAGATGTCGATGCGACACGGCAGGGCAATTAACAGAGCTTTCCCCAGCACAAATAGCTTTTGAAAGACATGTATGATTTTAGCGACATAWTAGCGACAGAGATACCCAACATGAAGATGGAAGACAAATTCGCCCCAACCTATTGATGATCAATGTGAAGCCAAGCTGGCATATGTCAAGTATTATTGTGGGTATATCCAAAATCATACGGCTGTATCCTTATACGATGCTACCTTCATCTTCAGTTTGCCATTCATACCTTATGTGTCGTGTCGCACATGACGGAGAATCTCGATTCTCCAATCTCGAGCTCGGCCCACCTGCAGGATTCCGAAACGATCTGCGGTGACCCCTCTTATTTTTTGAGCATCAACAACGGCTGCGCAAAACAACATCATCATGGCGGCTGAGACACCCGAGAAGGACTTGGCCGAGTTGAAGTTGAACGACGCTGAAAAGCCGTCAAAGCAACAACATAATGGGGCAGATGTGCCCTCGAACGGCGATGTAGAAGGCGGCGATTCGGACGACGACGAGGGTGACGAGGGCGAGGATGGACAGCAGACCGGTGCTGGCGAAGGAGCGGCAAAGAAGAAGAAGAAGAGAAAGCCGAGGAAGAAGAAAAAGACTGGCGCTGCGGTGCAGGGAGGTGGTGCGAAAGGTCAGAAGGAGCCGCCAACAGTAAAGGTGTCGGATCTGTTTCCTGAAAACAGCTACCCGATTGGAGAAGAAGTCGAGTACAAGAACGATAATGCGTATCGAACAACCAGCGAAGAGAAGAGGGAGTTGGATCGTATGAACTCGGATTTCTTGACAGAATACCGCCAGGCAGCAGAAGTACACCGAGAGGTTCGAAAATACGCCCGGAAGATAATCAAGCCTGGCATGAGCTTGACCGAAATTGCGGAGACGATCGARAATGGCACGAGGCATCTGACAGGACATATGGGACTGGAAGAAGGCGACAACTTGCTCGGAGGCGTGGCTTTTCCAACCGGATTAAGCTTGAATCACTGCGCGGCACATTACACGCCGAATGCTGGAAACAAGATGATTTTGAAGCAGGAGGACGTCATGAAGGTAGACTTCGGTGTGCACGTCAACGGTCGCATTGTCGACAGTGCTTTCACGGTTGCCTTTGAACACAAATACGACAACTTGCTCGCTGCTGTTAAGGATGCCACAAACACGGGAATCCGACTAGCAGGAATCGATGCCCGGCTAGGGGAAATCGGRGAGGGCATTCAGGAAGCCATGGAATCGTACGAGGTTGAGATCGATGGAACCACATACCCTGTCAAGTCTATCCGCAACCTGAACGGCCACACGATCGGACAATTCAGCATTCATGGCGGCAGTGCTGGGAAATCGGTACCAATTGTCAAAGGAAGTGGGAACGAGAAGATGGAGGAAGGCGAAGTCTATGCCATTGAGACGTTTGGCAGCACAGGGAAGGGCATTGTGCGCGATGACATGGAAACCTCCCATTATGCAAAGATCGCAGACGCACCAAAGGTCGCCCTGCGTGTGGCATCAGCCAAGACACTGCTCCGCTCGATCGACAAGAACTTTGGCACATTGCCATTCTGCCGGCGGTACCTCGATCGGTTGGGTCWCGACAAGTACCTTTTGGGTCTGAACAACCTGGTGCAGTCAGGCATTGTACAGGACTACCCGCCACTGTGTGACATCAAGGGCAGCTACACGGCGCAGTATGAGCACACGATTCTTCTTCGGCCGAACGTCAAGGAAGTGATAAGTCGCGGCGACGACTATTGATGATAAATGAGCTATGATTGGGAAATTTCGCAAGCCAGCTTGGATTCCGAGAGGGAAAACACAACTCTACAGTCTGCTCAGAATTAACATTCCCTGCCATCTGATGCGATGGCTGTGTCTGCCCAATGAAGAGGCATTGATTCTCACATTTTTTGCAAGCAACTTCTCGCAACTGCCTGCTAGATGTGCCGACATCTCTCAGTGGCACATTGGTCAGGCCATTGATCTATCTGGACTGCAAAGTAGAGAAATGCCAACCAACGATCATCTCCTCACGACTCTCACAAATGACCCGCTGAGCATTTCCATGCAGCGTCCGGATGGGTATTTTCGAGTCTCCTTTGTTTAGCATCGACCTCAGTCTTCTCGCCGCATCGCTCGGTTTCTGCAGATGTCCGTATGCAAGCTTTGTTCGAGGACCCATTTACCCGTCGTTGTTTCTATCCTCACGGTGTCCGTTTCGATTCCAGTGAAATTTCGGGTGGAACATCTTGTCTCATCGATGTCTGCGTAGAGAGCTCGTACCGAATATTGTTCTTGGGTAGAAGCAAGGACCTCGATTTTGTCTTGCCCCAAATTCGCGGTCCAAACGGTTAAAAAAGACACCGAAAGCTAACAAAACGCCTACTGCAGATCTGAGAACAACGTGAGATTTCTGAAGACATACCGTGAGGAACACATTTCCATGTTTCTCACTACTTTGGTAGAGTATTCGGGATGTGGAAACTGAGAACGGGCCAGGATCTCACCATTCAACCCACCGGAAGATATCGCCAGGGTTGTCTTTGAGAACAGGAGTTAGCTTAGTTGCTCAGTCCAGGCAAGATGAGGCACCAGTAACCCAGATGATTGATCTGTATATTCTAGCTCAGTTGCTATTGGTCCACGAATTTGATGCCAATGCCGGTCAATCAAATTTGTATCCCAATCAACTTCTTGCAACACCTCGAATTTCTTCTTCCCTTCGGCTTCATCAACGCTTGCGAACAGGAACAACATTGACGCCTTCACCCGCTGGGAGCTCTAACGTCGTCAGAAATGCGTGTCTTGAACAAGCATTTCCGCGGCACGGCGAACCCGCGAGCTTCTTGGCGGGTGGGATGACAGCCTTCCCAACTTGAAGATTTCCACCATGAAGTCATKTCTCGGCCGCCTTCTCCGCGTCCACTCTTCGTGCACCGGTTGGACATGCATCGCATCGAGCTTTGTCTCGTATTCGATCGGGGTCGTCTGATTCAGCACAAGACTTGAGAGACACTCGAGGTTCTGATTTGGCCGCTGCCTACGTACTAAGCTTCAATACAGCCATGATCGCTGCTGCATCGAGGGCGACAATGCTGATCGGACGAGTTCCGATGCTGCCTCTCAACATGGACAGTGCTATTAATGGCATCTCTCTGCCGGAAGAGGCTTTGACCCGGGTCCCGGCACGGCTGCAACACGTGGAGGGTGCGACATTTCAGGCTCATACCCACAGCATGATGACATCCAATATGAATGAACGTCCAGAAAAAGCCAGTGTGCCTGAACCGGCTTTCTTCATTGGATCATACCACCGCGCTGCTGTCGACGAGTCCTGGGTTCACTACAACGAAGTACCTTGACGGTCGTACCTCATACTTCCATTGCCTACTGAAATATGTGGAGCTTCTTCTTCCATCGACGCTATGCAAATCCGATCAAGCCGATCCATCCGCAAGGACTCCAGATGATGACACACGTATATGTGTTGCTGATGCAGCTGAGTATATATGTAGGTCCAAATTTCGCCTTGCTTTCGATCGGTCATCAATACACTCCATCATCTCTGCTTGCTTCTCTCCCGCAAATACTTAATCATGAAGACTGTTATCCGCGCAGCAGGCCTTATCATCGGCGCTTCGGCCGCCGTTGTTCCAAAAGATGATTGTTGCTTCCAATTGACGGCCTCTGGAGACGCCAAAGGAACGATTGGCCAGCTCGGCGATGGCCAGAACCGCATTGGCGGTGGATACCCCCCAGCAACGTACTGGTATGTCTTGTCCAGACGAAGTCGACTTGTAAATTGTAACCATATTGATTGACTTGTAGCATCAACAACGGCGGCATCACAGACAAGAACGGTCGTGGCTGCATTCTGACTCCACCTACAACTCAATTCCAGTGTGACGTTGGAGCGACCCCAACTTACGGATTCTCCATCGGCATGGGTGGTCAGGTYGAGTACAAAGGCAGCAAACAGTTCTATGCATGCCCTGCTACGGACAATGGCGAATACAACCTCTACACAACCCCTGCTCCTGGCCAGGCTAAGTGTGTGAAGGTCACTCTCAGCACTGGTGGGCAATGTACTAGCGGCGGTGCCCCCAAACCCTCTGTTCCAGCAGAGATGCCGAAACCCAAGAACACCCAGCCCGCACAACCTCCGAAGCCATCAGGCACCAAGCCATCTCCATCTGAGGGCGGCTGCCCAACYGCTTTGACCGGTGCTTACCAGACGCCGCATCTCATTGTACCAGTATCCTCCAAGCAGCCTGATACCGCCTACGGTACCCAATACAACGCCACCATCAGCCCCGAGAAGTGCACCATCTTCAACTTTGATATACCAAGCTCCTACTCTGGCAAGAAATGCAGCGCCGTATTCCTTTTCCCCGAGCAGTCACAACTTCAGACTTCTGCATACACATTCTCCGGCTCTGGCGAGCTCGTGTTCTCCGAGCTCAGCAAGCCAGCTGACCAGAAGACCACCTTCAACAACGTCCCGAGCAAGAAGGGTGACCTCGCATCGATCGCAATCAAGCCAGGTAACAGCTACACTGTTTCCTCTGGATCTTGTGCCGCTGGAACGACGCAGAGCATTGAAGTGTGCTCTGCGAAGGGACTGAGCCTCGAGTTCTTCGAGGACTACAACCCATCGCCTCTTGGTCTGTATATTACCTCTTGCTAGCTTGAACGCAAGATCGACAGCAAGTACCGTGAAATGGAATGTGGTGGTCCTGAACATTACAAAGCGACCGTTATGTGAGCATAATGAGCCAGGTATTATTCATAGAAATGATAATGTAATCTTTCAATTAAATCGGAGTCTCCWCTGCTGTGCTTTGAAATTCGCTCGGAATTGTGCCGTGACATGTGTTTTGTCTCGTGCAAAGTTGTGCCTGAGAAAGTGAATGGCACTGTCACTTGTTGGTCGTAGCTTCCGCATGTGAACCTCAAATAAGGTTGGTTTAGTGTCTCAAACATCCCCGCGAGTCGCGACACCACCTTCAGCTTGTTGTCCAGCTCGACAACACACACCTTTCTTTCCACTACCCCTCTCCACACCGCAACCATGGACATGGACATGGATATTGATATCGACCTCGACCCGGAGATTGCGCGCCTCCAGGCCTCGACCGCCGCGCTCAATGCACTGCCATCTGCTATGCAAGCTGACACCAACAACACCATTGCCGATGCAGATGCCATGGTCGAGGATGGCGAGGTCGCCCCGAGTGATGCGGTCGCGCACAAAATCCACATTTCCGGCCTTTCCACTCTCACTACCCACGATATCGCAAGATTTGCTTCCGACAACAACAAAGACCACGAAGACCACGTCAAGATTGAGTGGGTGGATGACCACTCCGCCAACATTGTGTACTCTAGCGACGCTGCTGCGGCTGCCGCGCTCCGCGCGTTCTCTCTGACCCCTATCGAAGACCCACTCGAACCTCGCCGAGCGCAGAGTCTACTCACCCATCCCGACATTGAGCTGTACGTTCGCCAGGCACTTGTGACGGATGTGAAGGTTCAAGGAGCTGCGGCACAGAGCACATTCTATCTGCGGAACCCTCAATACGACCCTGACTTGCACCCGAGGAGCAGAGGTCGCGGCCGAGGTCGGGGTGGAAATAGAGGTCGAGGCGGAGGTAGAAATGATTATCGGCATCATGGGGGAGGTTTTGAGGATGACCAAATGGACCGCTCGCGTCGAAGCTCGGGAACCGAAAAGGGCTTCAGTGTCGACCTGTACGATGATGTCAAATCGGACTCTGCACCTACAGCTCCACGCGCTGCGCGGCGAGACAGCAGCTATTCAAGTGGAGACCGAAATGCAGGCAGGCGAGGAGGTCGGAATCTAGAGAGGCAGAGCGTGGACTTGATTCGGGAGAGAAGAGACGGCCGACTTCGTGATCGGAGCGCGTCTCCGACCAGGGATGGAGATGGACGCTATGGATTCAGCGATACTCAGCCATACCGCGCAACTGCTCGCCACAGAACACCGCCACCTCGTCCAGACAATCATGCCGCGAGTAGAGCCATCAGACAGGATCTCTTCGCTCATAAGAAAGCCGCATCTGCACTTCAGAATGCCACAAAAGCACAAGTCGAGCTTTTCCCAGACCGCGCCAACGATCACCCGACCAGCGACCTCTTCCCAGCCAAGATCAAGGAGAAGCGACAGAGGGAGCTTCGACCCGCGGACATAACATCTGCAATTAGTGAGTGCAAGCTCGATGAAGCCACTGAAATTCACAACACTAATTAAAAGGCAATGCAGCCCATCAGCGGCCACGATACAATTCTGGTCACAACGGTGGCGACCTCATCACACACACAAGCAGCAAGCACGGACGCTTGAACGACGACTCTGAGGATGGCGTGAATTGGAGTATCAAGGGCGCTGGATCTCGAGGCTCGAGCAGCGACTTCTCCTTCCTCGGCAGGGCGAAGGCGGAGACGAGGGGTGGCCAAAAGGATCTCATCGACAATCGGTCTGGACGGTCCGGACAGCGGCTGAGCAGGTCGTAAGATCATTATTACTAGAAGAAACTCTACTCAAAGCATCCATTTACGAAGTGAAGACTTTGCGGAACGGCCATTATGGAATTTCAGCGAGAAAGCGGCATGACAGTTGTGATTGAGTTTGGTTTGATTTGAGCGAGGCGTTGGTGGATTTGCTTTTGGCATATGGACATGGATCCGAGATACCCGGGATGCAGCGAGCGTGCTTTGCGTGATGAAAATTGACTGATCACAAGCATACTGCGTACTCGGTTCAGGCACGCAGCGAGACTGCATTGGTGTTAATGCGACCTCTGGGAAATTTGGAGGTCTTTATATAACCAGAAATGCATTTTCTTTGAGAAATGAAAGATGGTCAAAAGTCCATAATTGAACTGGGAATCAAGAAGTCTTTATGTTGAGGTCCATAATGATCCCCCGTTGTCCTCCTCTTTGCTGGCGATAGATTGGAGAGAGAATAGAGAGAATAGCGGCGCGAAAAAGGAGTTCGTACGTGAAATTTGCCAAGTACAAAAGGGGGAGGAAGGGAAGAGAAAAAAATGCCGGCGCAAACATACGTACCAGCCGTAAGTCTGTGGAGTCGTATCTGATGGCGCTCTGTTCAGGAGACAGCTCGCCTTGGATGCTGCGGACCAGGGGAATAGTGTGCTTTTTGCAGAGCAAGGCTGAGGACCACTTCCATGGATGGTCCGTCCAACTCCCAATGGGTGCTGAAGTCAGTTCGCTGGCCTTTCAGAAAGTAGCGCTCTACATATATCCAATGCATGGAATGTATCGGAAGTACGGAGAGACAGCCTTCCGCGGCGGACATTTGAAGGTCGTCACGAAGACGGAGAGCCACATACGCGAGGTTGACTCGCTCGTTCTTGTTGACGTACGGATGCTCGGCAGGGGAGATGGAGAGGTGATGCTCTACCTTCACCTGCCCTTCGGGCCAGCCCCAGTCGTCCTCCATGAGTTCCAGCTCAGTTTCCCGATAACTTCTTAACTGCAGGACATATTAGTATGAGCCAGGTGTCGATGCTGGCTCGCGGGAATATTTCAGCTTAGGTATTACTTACAGTCACGAATTCAATAGTATGCTCATCAGGTCTTGAAAGTACAAGAATTGGGTGACCGTATGCTCCAAACGCTGCCGGTTTGATTGCTTCTAGAACTTTGAAATGGCGTTTACCATGCTCCTTGATTATTTGCCCAGTTGATCTGATGGTTCCCACGAATTTAGGAAGTATATGGCTCTTACGCTTGCGATCGATGATTTTCCTCTTGGGCAAATAGAGAATGGCGCCCTGGTGGACATGTCCATCCTGGGGAGGCGCTCGTGGATTAGGCGAAGAGTAGAAAGTAATGGATCCAGCCATGATTTTGAGTTCTCTGGACCAGCCGGAGTAATGAAAGTGGTTTGCTATTTCCACCTTCGTGCCCGCTCACCTTGCTTATATGCGAACATTTTTGCGGCGGTCTTAGTCCAGACCACAAGAGACATTGCAGTGAGTCTCCGATTTGAGTATGAGACATAGCTCAGCCTAAAGAGTCTCGAGAGTAGACCAATAGTCGCAGTTCAGCTTGCAAGAGAGACGTGTCTCAGCAGAGGGCATTGCAGTGCAATGCCAGACCCACAACTGGCGTAGACTTCCGCATGTCCTTGAGATATCATTAGAGAGAAAGCAAAAGACGCAAGATCCAGAGGTCGATCCATGTGTGTTGTTACGATCCTCCTCGTTCATTGCAATCGCAACACGCACGAGAGCCAACCAGGAATACTCAGTAGAATTGAGTCTTATGAAGGCTTGCATTCGAAGAATTCTCCGCCTGTACTGTGAGTAGAAGACAGAAAACAATGTTCGACCCTACACCATCCTCTGCCATTGTGAGTCCCCGAAGTTCCTCGCCGCCAACTTCAAGTGTGCCGTACAATGGAGTTCCAAACGATGATACCTGACCGGGGAATGATTGCAGAAGAAGGCTGAGCCGCGTTCGACAGTCCCCCTAGACTGGTACCCTCTTAGCTTACAAGTCTCCGGGCGGCCTCTTCAGCTGAACAAGGATAGTACGCGGTTACAGGTAGAAGGCGCAGCGCCTGTAGATGCTGATAGTCTTTTAGTACTGCAGGGACAGGTAACAGACCAGTCGTAGATACAGGATTGTGGCAAATAGATCTTGTTGAGGTATGATTAGATTGATAGGAGATGCCGCGAGTACAGCAGAGCCGGAGTGAGGTACATGTAGATGATGCGGCGTTGGCGTACGACGCCGCAGAACAAGGAAAGCTCGGGCCGCGAGTGAAGAGAAAGATCATTTCCAGCCACTCTCGACGGCCTTGTAATGAAGATGATGGAAATGTAATCGCTCAGCAGTTGCAAGCATTGCCATTTTCATTCACATGCGCTCGTCTTTGCCACGTCGTCGTCCCATTCCAACGCGCACGTGCAGGTGATCAAGATCAGGCAGGCACAGCCCAGACGACGCGAGCAAACAAGTCGCGGCACTAAATCCGCCCCGGTCAAGGTAGAACTAGTTGAGGTCCCCCCTACCAAACACATCATATCAACGAACACCACCACTCCTTCCACTGCCTCTCTACGCCCGTCCATCCCCAAACACGACGCCAGCTCCATCGCACATACCCCATTACATTCCGTTGCTCACACATCCATCGCGCAGATGGCGGAAATCCGTCGCAAGTTGGTCATCGTCGGTGACGGTGCCTGTGGAAAGACCTGTCTGCTCATGTAAGTGCAGCATTCGCCGCATCTGCGCCTGTCCGCCGCACATACTGACCACCGAGCAGTGTCTTCTCCAAGGGTACTTTCCCAGAGGTTCGTCGCTCAGTCCCCACCCCACCAGCCTCGAGGGCGCACCAGCAGACCGCGTCATGTTGCCCATCCGTCCGATACGGCGCGGCGCATCATCCACCAGCGCCGGCTTCCACGACTAGACCGGCCATCCGTCGATGACTTGTATCAGTACTAACACTACCGCACTGCAGGTCTACGTCCCGACTGTCTTCGAGAACTATGTCGCCGATGTCGAGGTGGACGGCAAGCATGTTGAGCTAGCGCTATGGGATACCGCCGGCCAGGAAGATTACGACAGACTCCGACCGCTCTCCTACCCCGACTCGCATGTCATCCTCATCTGTTTCGCCGTCGACTCGCCCGACTCGCTTGATAACGTGCAGGAAAAGGTAGGCGCCGTCTCGAGTGCCGTGCACGAATAACCACATGCTGATTCGCTGCGCGCATTTAGTGGATCTCAGAGGTCCTGCACTTTTGCTCGGGTCTACCTATCATCTTGGTGGGTTGCAAGAAGGATTTGAGATACGACCAGAAGACCATTGAGGAGCTGCACAAGACTTCGCAGAAGCCCGTGACGCCTGAGCAGGTAGGATTTTGCTCCATCAATTGTCACTGTCGGCGAACAAAAGATTAACACCATTTCAGGCCGAGGATGTCCGCAAGAAGATTGGTGCTCAGAAGTACCTCGAGTGCTCCGCGAAGACCAACGAGGGCGTTAGGGAGGTCTTCGAGCATGCAACACGCGCTGCGTTGCTCACACGGAAGAAGAGCAAGAAGAGAGGTTGCAACATCTTGTGAGCAGTCTTACAGCAACAACTTATAATCGGCCCAATACCAACTTCCGTCTCTACGACGAACCCACTCGGACTACGCCAACACCCAGGACACATAATTTGCAACATGGTGGAATCAAGGGACGGAAGCGATCAGCGAGGGGAGGACTACCACATCGATGTTGTTGGGCTCGCTTGAGACGGCGGCGAACGAAGCGAGCGTGTTTGAGTGTGGGGGAGGGAGAGCTGGCCGAAACCCTTCTTTTGCCAGCTGGGTGGAAATGCTCTCACCCTTCTTAGAATTGTATTGTGCACACTTTGCTGGCGTTTATCGGTTCACAATGAGGATGCTTTATAACGGACTCTTCTCTTTGCTTCCCCTCCGGTACCTTGGCTAGGTTTGCAAGACGGCATCGCAGAAGTTGTCCATGATTTCAAATGGTTGCGATAAAGTCTTGATGGAGCACTCCGCTAGGGAGGACATGTCTTCCAGATTCCTTCCAACACGAGCATTGCGGCCCTTGCCATCCCCTGGCATATTCCATGTATGTCCATTTGTGCAACGGCATCACTCGACATCACCGCCGGGTCAGGCCCTACGAGGCCATATCGTAGGCGACAGCTCTCACCCCGCGCCCGCAAGCTCAGCTCAGCCCTGTCCTGTCCATGTGGCGTACTCCCTGAGTAAGGTGAGGATATCACATGTTACATTCCCCAGATTCCCAGTCGGTGGTGAGATGGTGAGACCCGAATGAAGCGTGCAGAACGTTGCACGTTTCACGGCGTCTTTACATGCTAGAGTCAGTGCTTGACCGGTGACTACAGACGTACAGAGCACCTGTATTCCTTCGATAGATCACGCTGCGATGGGAATAGTTGCATGGCTGGTGCCTGCATACGCGATGACTACAAATACGTTATTTGCCTGCTTTCAGACCGCACCTGTCGCATCGTCAAAGCGCTGGAACTTTTGAACAAAGGAAGCCTTTTGTAGCTCAAGACTACCCACCTTACCTTACACCTTATAAGTAACAAGACTGTCACACGATCACATGTTCAACATCCCATCCACCCACGCGACGCACAACAAGCATTGACCCCGACCGCACATTCCAAGGCGTGGTCGTTCCCGCGGACGGGATTAATCGAAACGGCACTCTCCGGACCGCAAATCGACCACACCTAGTCGGGCATCGTCAACTCACTACCTCACTTTGCATTCAACTTCTGCTCCTCAACCAGCCAGGTCACCTCGCCTCTGACAGTCTGTGCCAGTCAGCTGCAGCAATCATCGCCGCGACCAGCCGCTGGGGGTTCAAAAGCAAAAAGGACCATTGTTGCATCCGCCAGGTTCTCGAGACGTCACCGAACCAACCCCACCACCAATTACCTGGCTGGCGATTGGACTCTGCCACATTCGAGATCTTGGAACCTCACAAGAACCACGCACGATTCCACGATTCTCGCAAAAGGACACGCGATCACGCACAAGAGAGAGGGAGAGTTCAAAAACTCTGGGCCGCCCGCTCTGGGCCGCATAAGAACTTCCCCCAGCTGCAGTCTGCGGCTACTTTTCAACAACAAGACAACCACATCCAAACCGACGCGGAGAGGATGAACCTGTGTTACCAATCACAGCAATCCAACACCATGTCTCTTATCAAGTTTTGACCAAAGCCCCAAAAGGTGATTCGCTCAGCGCGCAATTCGTCTTGATGCCATGCTGATCGTGATCCTAGGCGACTGCTTCCGCAGGTGCTTCGAGTACCTCCACCAAATCCCGGCAACCCAGCAATTTCCACCATCAGCATACATTAGCCTTGCACGGTCTGGTCTTTCGCGCGACCTCACCACCTGTTACGTCTCTTCAAGACATTCCACTGCAAATCGCCATCCGCCAGTCGACGAAAGCAGCCAACAGCGCTGTGTGCAACCAGAAATGCCTTTTCTTGGTACTGAACGACCAGATCCAGCAGACGTCGACCACGCTGCCACCAAAGCTCTCAAGAAGGCGCTGAAGATGGCCGACCACGCCGAGCAAATGAACGTAGAGCAGAGTACGGGAGACTGTAAGATATCGTTCCTCATCGACTGCAGGCGCGCCGCTGATTTCAACCAGTTCAAGGAAATCATTCGACACCAGCTTCGCGCGCGCCAGGTCCAAAGTTGACAATCGCGCAATGCCYATCGCGGTTGACTCCTTTCGTCCCGCCACCCAACTACGGCACCGTCGAGAAAGGAACGCTGTTTCGAAGCGGCTTTCCACAGGCAAAGCATCTCGACTTCATGAAGTTGCTAAACATCCGCTCACTTCTGTATGTTCGCGCCCTTGTCCGCAGTGTGATCTCTTTGCTGATTACAGTCCAGTTCGCTGGTCGACACAGAACCAAGCAAGGAGCTTCAGGAATTCCTAGATTTGCAAGGGGTTCAACGCAATCACCTCAGCATTGCAGCGAACAAAGAAGGCGGACAGATGGATCTCAAGACCATTTGCGATGCGATCATCTTTGCGAAGGAGCCCGACAACCAGCCAGTGCACATCCACTGTAATCAAGGCAAACATCGCACTGGTTGTGTCGTGGCGTGCCTGCGCAAGTATCAAGGCCGACCCATCGACGAGATCTTGACAGAATACAAGGCCTATGCCTATCCCAAGGAACGACCCGGCGACATCGAGTTCATCAAGGCCTTCAACCCAAAAATGGTCGATGCGTATGCCAAGTGCTACGCGCACCATGGCGTGTCCCCGAAAAACTTCCGTGTGGACTCGGCAGTCGACATCTTGGCGTTCTCATCCTCCATCTCCGACGACCTCACACCGCCTGCTCTCTCAGGGTCACCCATGTCGTCAAGCTATGGCTCAGGCTCCGACATTACGCTCAGTTCTCCGCTATCACCTTCGGTAGAGAATTTTGTGACCCCGTGGACGCGTGTCAGAGATTTTGGCGCTCCTTCCGGGTACAACATCAAGCACGACAACGAGGCGGGAATCTGCTCGGCAGAGATTGCGACTCCAACAAAAATCAGTTGCTTCGACCTATGCGACGGCGACTCTGACTGGGAAGAGTCCGAGACCGTGGCCATTTCTGCAACTGCGACAAGTCCACCAATCGCTGTCGCCACTCGGTCGAGCTTCTCATCATAGAAGCCGCGGGTTGCGACACTCATTCAACCTGGACAGGCATTACTCTCACTCAACACGAACTTTCATTATGGAAGCAGCACTCCTTACGACAGGACATGGACCTCAGTCACAGAAGGACTGGTCGGTACATTGCAACATCTTTTGATGGCTGATTAAGCGCGGCGCTGGTGGACGGATTGATTTTTTGGGTGGAATGGATGGAAGGAAGCAAAAACTTTCTGCGGCATTTGTCATTAGTCGTAATAGTGCCATGGCTCTATCAAAAATCGACTTGACGGGAAACTCACGCGAACGCCTTGTACCAAAGATGAACTAACCCTAGGCTTCCAAAGTTGTCAGTTGTCAGCGATGTCTGTCGGTAACAACAAGCTACGCCACCCAAGAACACTTGCAGGGGTGTTCTGGACTGTGGCTTGTGCCACACACGGAGGCTCTCCCCGGACGGAATTTGCCAATGTAACCGCTTCGTGGCGAATCTCACGATTCAAAACCCCCTGCTTAATGTGATGGGGGCGGAGATCGTCCCGGCTAGGAGACACAGGGCTTAGTTGCAGGCGTGCGCTCAACATACAACGTATCCCGGTCATCTTCCCTTGGGGCTTGTGAGGGCGTACCAAAGGCAACTGTGAAGACATGTGTGAGTTGAGAAGCGTCCATCGATTGACACGAAAGACTAGAACGCTATGATTGTAATGCCAAATTCCATACGCTCTTCATACAATGAAGTAGAGTGATACTGACGCGCAAAGGACCTCCCTCGATACCCTGCCCCGTCGCAGATCGCATTGCAGAGGGTGTCCTGCATACAGGAAGCACGCTAAAGAAACAGGGAGGCTTTCATCCAATATGCGCACTCCGTTCTGTCGACCATTGACGCGGGTTGGTTCGGAGTTCCCGCTCAGCTTTCCGTATGCAGGACTGGGGCCGTACATCGCATATCTTCCTGCCATCGAGTAGTTCTCATCAAAGATTGCCCTGCCCGGCTCCAGCCTTGCGACCGGCCGCTGATGGTGGCACGCGAATCCCAAAGTTGGAATCTCCCTGTGGTCTCGACTTCACTTCATCAATCTTGCTCTTCGCCAGGCTGATGGCGGGCAAGATCCAATCCCCACAGTTGCACTGCATACCTTGCCACGCGTACTTTCCAACATTAGCCTTGCACTTGGGACATTCCAATCGTCCGTCAAGTTTGCCTTGTTCAAGCTCTGGGCGCATCCAAGAGAGTGGATCCAGGAAGTAGTGCGAGCAGGTCGAGGATGTGTTTTTCGGGTTTGATGCAGCTGCTTGAGTGGCTTGGTGGTTGATGAGATATTGAGATGTTGCTAGTGTACGTCTGTGATGGTGTCAGCGATTGGGTTGTGTTTGTGTGATGCAGTCTGCACATACCTGCATTTCCGACATCGCATATCGTAGTCGGCGGCTGCCGAACCTTGGTCATGCTCATCTTCGAACCTGATCTTGTCTGCTTCTGGGGCTTGACCGCATGCCCGGCTCAATGCAACTTCTTGGAGATATACCCATCGCTGGTAGGCTGGTACCGATTCCATGTCATCCGGAGTCCCCATTTGGAAGTAGAGTTCCAACTGCTGCCAGAAACCTTCGTTCGGCTCGCAGAGTGGCCTACTTTCCCGAATTCTGCTCAAAGCCTCGGATGCCGTGATGCCATATCGCTGCATTAGGTATGCGCAGGCAACCGTTGAGGATCGAGATTTGCCCATGGCACTATAGCGTAGAGAGTTGGCGTATGCCTCGGCATTAAATAGGCTGGTAGATGGGCGAAAAGAAGGAAGAATGAAGGAGACAACAGCCGACAGGACTTACCAGTGCACGAGGACACCACCTCCCGCGTCAAGTCCATCCTGAATGAATTTGTTGCAAGATTCGAAATGCTCGAGCAAGTTTTCGTCGTCAACATCGTCCACTTCCACGACTTTGTGGGCAAAATTTTCGAACAGCTTCTCGTCCAGAGGAAGTTTCAGCACGGAAAGGACATGGGTGATGTTGGCGGCCTTGAGCGATTCTTTGCGGCGCAAATTAAACAACCTACCAATTATCAGATTCGAGGTGAGGCGAATGTTCAAATCGCAAGTCCAACGCACCCGCCAATGTAGAAGTTCAGGTCACTTTGGACTCTGTCAAGGGAAGCCATCTAACGCGACGACAGGGTGGTATGTATGACACGTGTGGTAAAATGTGGTTCTCGTCGGATGGTGATGTTGGTGATTTTCTCATCGAGTAGTTAGCCGACCCGACATCACACGAGTCAAACGTGAAGGGATTCGACAAAGCCAAAGCCAAGCCAACTCAGACAGGCAAACCTTCAGTGCCGAGCCCGCAAAACTCTAATCCACATGAGCCGTCTGCAAGCACATGATGAGCATTATTATTGAAGTTGATGGCATCCAACAATATCACCTTCATTCTACTTTGCATCTTGTTCCCAATTGAATCATACTGGATGGCTCGAAATTTGTTCTTCACCGAGTTCTGGCCTAGATGTCTCCGATCAATTATTGTTCACACGCGATCGACTGCAGCCGGTTGTGACGAAAGTCTAGGCCCGGAACTAACAGACGATGTTTAAAATGTCATGCAGAACTGAATTTCCAGCTGCGAGGTACGCTTTGGAAAACGCAAGGGAAACCCAACAAGTCTCGCTATCATTGACCAAAGCCAACATGGATGAACCAAGACTGCAGAGAAAAATAACGAGTACAGCGCAGGCGACGACGACGAGTTCGGATTGCCCTACCGATATGTCGGTGAGGATAAATGTTCAGCCTTATTTGGTCAAGGCTTGCCTCTAAGCTCAGCATCGGACTGTACGAAGTATTGAGTGCACCGGACTGTCCACTGAAGTAGTGACGCAGCGGGTGGCGTACTGTCCGTCTCCGTTAAGCCAATGCAGAGATGCAGACAAGTCACATGCATCACGCGTTGTGTGGGTGGGAATTCGAAAGCAAGATCGCGAACGGCCTGGAGCGGGATGGACCCACGGGAGCTACGACAACTCCACGAGGGGATCGATCCCTGTCGGCAAATAGGGGCAAAGAGCGACAGCCCTGCAGCCCTAAAAGCCTGAGAGGTCCGCCGCTGTATCACCGTGCGACAGATGGCGGCGATGCAATGCACAAGTGCCGTTGTTRTGCATGCGGCTATGGGACGCGATCTGGCGAGCCACTTTTCTGYTTCCTCATCTATGGAACAGGACAAGGTTTCGATACTACTGTGGAGTTCATGTTGCAGAACCAAGAGAGATCAGCGAAATTCAAACGCAGGATGTCCGTCTTCCAGCGACAAGCGACATCCTCCGTAGCGATCGTGCTGATTTAGCCGCTGTGGTGAGTGGGCCATCCAGCCCGGCCCCTGCTGATGATAGTCGCACAAGAGGACTGTCAGCTTGAAGGAATCCACGACCCCAGCAAGCGCCGCGAGTTACCTTTATCCTAGGTAGCTTCATGTCGTTGAACCTGAAAGGACAAATGTAGTGGTATGGCGGCAGCTCCGCGATGTGCGGTGATACTATGATAGAACTAGTCGGAGCCTTTGGCCGGGWCATCTTGCGTCGGATGCTGAGGACTCCACGTACAGCTCCACTTGGGCATAGAGCGTCCCGAGTATGTAGATTATCTCAACACCTCCGGGGCCAATACTTCTGGCCGAGTACGATGTGGCTGTGCTTGTGCGAACGCAGGGTATGCCGATCCGTCTCGGAATCAACACCAAGGCTCCTCTCTACACACTAGATCAGGCGTGGGTAGATGGTACGGTTGGCCAAAGGTAGGGCATACGAACTCTGCCGGGAGCCGCCTTGCTGTCCACCACAGCGTGCAACTGCCTTGTCGTGCTGTACTGCATCCACTCGACCAGCAGCCCACTTCCCTCTCATGCGCGCCGCCCATTCTCACCCATCCCATATGTTCGTCTGCGCTGCTGAGACGCCGTAAGCATCCGCTGCATCCACCCCGTCACACAAGGCGTCTGATCGAGGCGGGTCTGTTGAGCTGGCTAGCTGGCGCTGTCTGGCAAGACGTGTGTGAAGCTCGTGAGTTGCACACGTCCCCCGTCACAGAGCACATCCATGATCCACGAGTGAACGACTGGCCAAGGATGTCGGAAACGCCTTCCATCAGGATCTCCGAGCACCAGCACTCGTGCTCCCAACGATCACCCCGCTATCCCACCTTCTCCGCCGCCGCCGCAGATTCAATGGCAATCCCGAGGGCGGAAGACCCAGTGCCGCCGCCGCTGCCTCCGCCGACCCAGATACCCGAAATGGCTGCAGGGCAAGACCCGGGCTGGCAGTGGGGACAGGACTCGACAGACTTTGGACGGCCTGCAGCGGTAAGGCATGGTAGCAGTCTGCTGGGAGCGAAGAGCGGGAGACAAGATATGGACCGTGAATATCCACCGTATCATGCCGGCGACCATGTGCGGAGGGGGAGTTCCATCTCCACTATCACCGTAAACCGAGAATACGAGGCGCAAGACGGTAGTCTGACCCCGAGCGACGATGGCGGCAGAGCCACTGCAAATTACAGGTATGTTGGTGTGACAGGAACATGAATTATCGACATCGCTTTGCGACAACCTCCTTCCCTCACGACGACGAGACCGGCGATTCTCTATATAACTCCATGGGSATTTTTACATGATCCGCTTGTGAGATTTGCATTCTTCAATAACCAAAACATGCTCATACTCGAGAAATGCTAATGCTGTGTGACCTCAGACTTCACGGCGAACGTCAACTTGAGCAGCGGACCTTGGAGCATTCGTCGAACAACTACGACAAGCACCTGCTTAGTCGTATTGGCGGTCCCAACGGACCCAACACGCCCAAGCGAGCCTCAGTCTCAAGCATTCCGGCCAGTGTACAGGAGACTGCCCAGCTTGCCCACGCCGAGAGTGAACGGTGGACTGGACAGTTGAGGCCTCTCTCAATGCCCGAATATCGCCAGTCCTCTTTGGACTCGCCTGCTGCCACACGTTGGCCATCATCAGGCGCAATCTCTCCCGGGTATACCGGCTCATTTTTCGAACACGCCCCAAACGATCATAGTCGCAACCACAGCATCGCATCACGGCACGCTAGTCTTACGTTCGAAGACAGCATTTCGCAACGGGGCAGCTATGACCAGGCCATGTTCTCTCACGGGGCCACGAATGAGGAAAGTCCCATGAGTAAACTGCACTTGCACAACCGGAGCCCGGGCTCTGATGATCTTCATGGCGTGAGGGCTGGAATGAAGCGCCGTGCAGACTCTCCGCCCAGGGAGCCGGCCAGGGAGGAGCGGACGTCCATCAGCAGCACCTCGGGGTTGCATGAGATGTATCACCGACGGTCTATGCAGCACCTGCCTTCTGGCCCGGTGAACAGACATCACTCATCATTGTCGTCGGCCTCTTCTTACGGACCACGCCACGGTTCATTGGGTTCTTCTCTAGGTGTCGCCAGTCTCTCTGGTAGTGCAACAAGCTATGGGTCGGGAAGAGTCTCTCCCAGCGGTTTATCGCCAGCATTTGATCCCGAGCTTAGAACGAGTAGCGCGGGGCGCACTTCTAGTAATGGCACTCACTCGATTCCGAGTACAGCCCAACGGGTGCTGCCGGAGGGTAATCAGGGCGCCCAGCAAGAACATGCCCCAGAGAGCGGGCCGCATTCACGTACCGGCAGTGTTGGCAATAGCCAAGGTGCACATGCATGTGAATGCTGTCCCAAAAAGCCGAAGAAATTCGACACCATCGAGGAGTTGWGGTAGAGACTCACAACACCCTATTTCGGATCGACATGCTAACCAGCGAGACAGGATGCATGAATCGGAGAAGCAATACACTTGTGCATATTGTCCGAATCGCTTCAAAAACAAGAACGAAGCTGAKCGACATCAGAATTCCCTTCATCTCCGTCGGCATAGTTGGAGCTGCGCCGTTCTTGCAGGTGTTGAAGCTGCATTCCACGCATCTCAGACTGCGAGTGGTACCGATTTGTGTGGCTACTGCGGCGAAGAGTTTGCAAACCCACCACAATGGGATGTTCGCGCGGAGCATCTCAACCAGGTCCACAAATTCGGAGAGTGTAACCAGGCGAAGAAGTTCTTCCGCGCCGATCACTTTCGACAACACCTGAAGCATTCCCACCAAGGAACGTCCGGCAAATGGACGAACCAATTGGAGATTGCGTGTATGAAGGACGAACCGATGCCAGAGAAGCGTGCGGTCAAAGGTCCTCAAGACCCACCAACGCTGGTGGTAGACACCACCGGGCTTACCTCTACGGGTAGTAGCTGATGGGGAGCCCCGCGCAGAGCTGGCAAACACATTTCTGGTGATCTTCAAGCTCATCTCCAACAGAGCATCAATGAAGGTGCTACACGCGCTGTGTATCGATGACTGCGAGCCGAAGAGCCTCAATCAAGGCAGATTCTAATCGCTACGAAGTTATGAAAAGAAAAGTGAGACGCCTCGCGTTTGTGAGGTATGACTTGCATGATTGGTGTGGGCGTTGGCATTACAAGCTAGATCTTAATGCACTCACCTGCGTCGCTTCCAGTTGTTGATGGAAGCCATGTGTGTACTTTTACAACAGTGCCCATCGAATTAGTGCATCGAACATACAAGGGTTTTTGTGACACATATCTCACGCTTTTCTTCCATCACATTTTACCGTTTAGAGAGCACTCCGACTTCGCGAAGATGGCCCGACTGGACCTCCAGGCGGACCCTTCCGATTTCATCGTCGCTCACGTAGTATCATACAGCTACCGTCTGGCACTCAAAGCCACGATTCCCCCGTCCGATCGAAAGATGAAGTCAGATTCTAACAGCCGCGACGGACCCGGGAAGGTCGTGCCAGGGTGACGTGCAACTGCAGCGATCAGCACCTGGTGATGCCCATGAGGATGCATGAAGGATCACCAGGCGCCTCATCGAGTGCTCGGTAATTCTCTGCCACCCAACTTTGCGGTCGTGATCGACGGGAGAGGACTACTACCCACGATGTTCTATTGCTGACATGTTGTGGGCAGTTCTTGGTGCAACGGAAGATGCGTACGTAAGCCCAAGGGGAAATGATGAGGCCATAGTCCGGCTGTCACTGCATTGCTGAAGAGGTGATTGTCCTGGCGACACAGCTGGGTCATGTGTGCATCATACTTGGTCCAGGATCAGCCTCGAGCATTTTGTTGTACAATATGAGTCTGGAGTCATCGGCAGAGCTGGCTACGGGAGATGCACAGTCAGATGCAGCCTAGAGTCGAGAAGGCGATAGGACTGGAGGGTTTTGTGCGATGATCGACCTGCCATGGTTTGAGGCAACACGTACGGGCGGGCTTTGTTCCGTTGTCAGCTAGGTTTCTGCGAACTTGATGGACAGAAGGCGCTCGAGAAACGATAGGCGGTCTGAGCTTGCAACGGGGCTTCTTGTCAATGGGAGGCGCAAGTGCAGGTCGCCAAGCAGGTTTGAGCAATCAGCGAGAATCAGCATGAATACATCTTGTGCCATTCTACCGAAGCTTAGGGCCGTTGACATTGCACAAGAGCTTGTGATATGGTCATCTTGGCATCCATGTCGCGTGCGAGGGTCAAGGTCTCCAACTGTGCTCTCCAGGTTGCGGAATACGGCGCAGTTGGCTTATCAGTACCCCGAAACTGTGGTAGAGTATCCTGGTGCCCCATGTTGCGTGGGCAATGAGTGAAGCTCGCCTTATTTTTGATCCCACGAGAATTCGCTGAGCCGTTGAGCCCGCTTGTTATGGCGGAGATCTCAGGGCATTGAATTGTGTCCAGCGGCGACAAATACCCAAATGCCGTTGTAGCATGATAAGGGAATCGAACATGCAATCAAGAAGCGTAATGTGGTGACGTTGAAAGTGGTTTTGAATGGAAGCTGTTTCCACGCCAAGACGCCGCGGCGCGAACGCCGAAGCGCGTCTTCCTTGTTGCCCTCCACAAGAAGGCTGTCCTTATTCTGAGGCAGAATCCTGAGGCGCTAAATCAGCTACCCGCACTTAGCGTGGCTTTGCCCACTCTCTCTACATGAAAATGCAAGGTCGACGCCTCTATTTTTTTCTCGCGGCTGCGTCGGGCCTGCCCGACCTAGCAGCAGCCGCGCAATGCAAAAGGGCTTTTTTAATTGCTGTTATTGCGTAAACAAAAGTTTATAGCGAGACGTAGACTTTGCGAAATTCCAAGTCCAAACTTCCTCTCTAGGTTAGTTCCCGGACCCCACTTCAGGATTCTGCCTCAGAATAAGGACAGCCCACAAGAACCAACAACACCTTCACCAAAACCTCCTCCAACATCATGTCATACGCTCCAAGGCCCGGTTCAGGTGCCATGAACCGACCATCATCCTCGCAATCTACACAGGCTTCCCTCCTCGCGACCCGCATTCAAGAGAAGAAAGCCGAACTCGAATCCCTCAAACAACTTCGCGATCTATCAGCTGGTCTAGCTGGCCAAATGCAGCAGTTGGAGGATAAGTTGGGAACGCTGAGTGACGGGACGGAGGCTGTGGCGGCGGTTATGGGGAATTGGAATACTGTCTTGAGAGCGGTTTACATGGCTAGTGGTGAGTGCTGTCAGTGTAGAGTATGAGATGTTTGGGTTGCTGATTGTTTGCTCAGCAAGCATACCGAAGCCGAGCGAGCAGAAGGGCCAAGCAGAAGAGCCTACATTGCCGCAGACTTTGGTGCGGATACCGATCCAGCAGGCTGAAGCTGCGCAAAGGGAGATGGAGGGCAAGGAGGCTGCTTCTGGTGGAGGCTGAAAGAGACACGGGTGATTCTGACACGCATGCTAAACGATTGCTCAACGAAGAAGCTCGAAGCAAGATGTGCACGCCAGTGCGAAAGAAGGCATCTGGCAGTGTACCGCAGGGATGTTCTTCCCTTCAGGACAACTGTGCCTGTGCAGGTGCTATGCTACGCTGTACTACAGTGTACTATGATATGCTTCCGGCAATGGAGGATGGGGTCCGAGGGCATGTGATGCTTCGCGACCCGTTTTACGCCACAGGACGATGGGTGCTGGGGACTGTCTCGCACTGAATGTGGTAGCAGCGTTTGAAGCAGTTGATGACGGAAATGGCGAGCCTAGCCGCACATGTCAGTGTCTGTAGCCGGTGCGTTTGCTGGAGTAGTGTGTTGGATCCGAGTCACGCTCCTGAGCTCCCAATATCGAATTTCCCGAGCAGGAATGCTCCACAGCTCTCGACGAATGCTTTCAACAGATTCTCCCGTCGACTCTTTAGCTTTTATCGATGCTTGAGAATGCCACCCAGTCCATCTCAACCCTCTGCCTTGCCCTTTCCTTTATGCTTCGGAACTCTCTCATAGGCGTTTGGGCTAGGCTTTCTTTCACCTCCCTCTTTCTTGCCCTTGCCCTTCCTGCTCCCTGCCTTTCTCGCCCGACTCAAATCCTGCCCACCATCACTGTCCTCTCCACTGGAGCTGCTCGAGTCGTCGCTGGAGCTATCACCATCCTCATGAGGCGCGTGGTAGATGCAGCAGACCTTGGATGACTTTTTGCCCATGTGCTCATTGTCAATGACTGATTCGGCCCATTGGACGCGGGGTGCTGCTGAAGATGACGAAGGAGAAGCCCCGCGGAGACGCAGAGTACCGCTGGGTTCCGAGGCCGGTGTTTGAGTGATTGTTTGGGAGCCAGAAGTGGGTTGTGCGACTGCTGTGGCGGATCCTGCTGATGCTGATGCTGTCGCTAGTGTCTGAATGGTGGAGGGATTGGGGAGAGCCATTGAATAGGCGGGGCAGTCTAGAGGCGTGAAGCAGTTGTATGTGCTCTGTCTACACAACTTGGTGATGGCAGGTGTGAAGATGTGAATGTAGCTGTATGTGTTTGTGTTTGTCTTGTGAAGATTGTGGAGTCGGAAGCGAACCCTTTCCAGGTTCTTTGTCAACGGCAGTCGACGCGGATGAGGGTCATGGAGGGGCTCGATACAGCTTGAGATTGAGGATCTTGACTGCACGCGCCGAATGAAGGTATTGTTGAGGAAAGCAGCATCACTTCTTACATCTTCCGAGTAAATCAAAGCAAGCATTGACTAGAAATAGCTGGACGGTCAATCCCCGCATTTTTCTGGTGTCGGTGGCTTTGTAATAGATCGAATCGAGGTCATCGTCAAGAGAAAAGCTTCTCTCCGCCAACCAACCTCCCGCCATTTGATTGAACGCCTTCGTCAACTCACACCACACACACTCTCAGCGCCGCCACTTTCCACCGCTACCACTCCAGATTACTCGACCACGCGCGTCGAATACTGCGACTATCCTCACCTTCGCCGCTKTCGGCCGCTGCCTGAGCACGACTCTGCCTGGGCGCGTGTCCTCACTTTCCCAGACCCGCGATTCTCGCGACCCAAACGCCAGCCTCCGCACCAACACCTCTTCCGCCTTCACAACCGTATCCCGCAATCATGGCGATGAGCATCGAGGAGCTCGATGTCACGGTGCGCTCCTTCTACGAGGGCCGTGGCGAACAGCAGAAGCAAGCACAAGCCTCGCTCAACCAGTTCAAAGAGAACCCGGACGCCTGGTTGATGGTGGACAAGATTCTGCAGGAAGCACAATACCCGCAGACCAAATACCTTGGACTACAAGTGCTCGACAATGTCATCATGACCCGGTGGAAGGTGCTGCCGCGCGATCAGTGCCATGGTATTCGTAACTTTGTTGTCAACTACATCATTCAGCAGAGCAGCACAGAAGAACTCCTACGCAAAGAGCGCGCACTGCTCAACAAGCTCAACCTCGTCCTCGTCAGTATCCTCAAACAGGAGTGGCCACACAACTGGCCGACGTTCATCAACGAGATCATTTCATCCTGCCGCAGCAGCCTGCCCATTTGCGAAAACAACATGGCCATTCTGCGCTTGCTCTCTGAAGAGGTCTTTGACTTCTCCCAGGACGCCATGACCAGCACCAAGACGCGTCAAATGAAGCAGAGCATGTGTGACGAGTTCACCAGCATCTACAACCTCTGCTCGGAGATTCTCAGAACCGCGGACCAGCCTAGCCTTATCAAGGCCACGCTTGAGACGCTGCTGAAGTTCTTGAGTTGGATTCCGCTTGGGTACATCTTTGAGACACCGCCCACAGGTGCCTCGTTGATCGAGACGCTTAGAAGCCGTTTCCTCGAGCTGCCCGAGTTCCGCAACGTCACCTTGAAGTGCTTGACGGAGATTGGAAGCTTGCAGACGGAGCACAACTGGAACGATAAGTTGGTACAGATGTTCACCGACACGCTCACAACCATCTCCACCATCATTCCTCTATCTCTTGATCTCAAGTCAACCTACGCATCCTCCAACAGCAGAGATCAGGAGTTTGTACAAAATCTGGCGCTTTTCCTCTGCAACTTCTTCAGCAATCATCTCAGCATCATTGAGAACCTTCCTAACCGGGACTTCCTCCTGCACGGCCATTTCTACTTGATCAGAATCAGCCAGATCGAGGACCGTGAGATCTTCAAAATCTGCCTGGAGTACTGGACGAAATTGGTGTGCGAGCTTTACGACGAGATGCAGCAAATTCCCATCACCGAAATGAACCCACTGATTAACATGACCGGGCTTCAGAACGGCGGTGCGATGAACCCACAGATTCTGGCAAACTACCCACTGCGGAAACACAAGTACACAGATGTCCTCTCCAACCTTCGACAGGTCATGATTGAGAAGATGGTACGACCCGAGGAGGTGCTCATCGTGGAGAACGACGAGGGAGAGATTGTGCGCGAGTTCGTCAAGGAGTCCGACACTATCCAGCTCTACAAGACCACAAGAGAGTGTCTGGTCTTCCTCACCCATCTGGATGTTGTGGATACCGAGCAAATCATGTCCGAAAAGCTGGCGCGACAAGTCGATGGTACCGAGTGGAGCTGGGGTAACTGCAACACTCTCTGTTGGGCTATTGGGTCCATCTCAGGGGCCATGAACGAGGAGACTGAGAAGCGCTTCCTTGTTACTGTCATCAAGGATCTTCTCGGTCTTACCGAGATGAAGCGCGGAAAGGACAACAAAGCTGTGGTGGCGTCCAACATCATGTACATCGTTGGACAATACCCTCGATTCTTGAAGGCACACTGGAAGTTCCTTAAGACGGTCGTCAATAAGCTGTTCGAGTTCATGCATGAGACCCACGAGGGTGTTCAAGACATGGCCTGCGACACTTTCATCAAGATTGCGAACAAGTGCAAGAGGCACTTTGTTATTCAGCAACCCGGCGAGAGCGAGCCATTCATCGACGAGATTGTCAAGACCATGCGAAAGATTACATGCGATCTTTCTCCTCAACAAGTGCACACATTCTACGAGGCTTGTGGCTACATGATCAGTGCACAGGGCGCCAAGTCGACACAAGAGCGACTCATCAGCGAATTGATGAGCTTGCCCAACTCTGCTTGGGACCAGATCATCCAGGGTGCCCACAACGACCCTACCATCCTTCACAACTCGGAGACTATAAAGGTAATCGGCAACATCATGAAGACTAACGTCGCAGCATGCAGCAGTATCGGGTCGTACTTTTTCCCGCAGATTGGTCGAATTTACCTCGACATGCTGACCATGTACCGCGCATCGTCTCAATTGATCGACGAGGCCGTTCAGCGCGACGGAAACATTGCGACCAAGATGCCGAAAGTCCGCGGTTTGAGAACGATCAAGAAGGAGATTCTCAAGCTCATCACGACGTATGTTGAGAAGGCGGATGATCTTGAGATGATTCACCAGACCCTCGTTCCTCAACTGCTGGAAGCCATCTTACTCGACTACAAGAACAACGTTCCGGATGCTCGCGAGGCGGAAGTATTGGCTGTCATCACAGTCTTGATCTCCAAATTACAGGTACGTTGGACACCAACCACGAGCAAGTTCATGATCGTACGCGCTCTCGCAATGAAAGGTAAAGTAGACCAGTGTGTTGATTTCCCGGGGCAGGGCATGATGACGGAACAAGTCCCCGCAATTCTCGATAATGTGTTTGAGTGCACGTTGGATATGATTAACAAGGATTTCTCCGAATACCCCGAGCATCGTGTCGAGTTTTTCAAGCTGCTGCGAGCCATCAACCAGCGATGCTTCCCGGCTCTGCTCAAGCTGGATCAGWCTCACTTCAAGCTCGTCATCGACTCGTGCATGTGGGCGAGCAAACACGACAACCGTGCGGTTGAAGGCGAGGGTTTACAAATGTGTGTGGAGCTGGTGGAGAACATGGCCAACCACACCGATCAACAGACTTGTGATGCTTTCTTCCAGAACTTCTTCACTACCGTGTTGCAGGATGTCTTCTTCGTCCTCACCGACTCCGACCACAAGGCTGGATTCAAGTATCAGTCGATGCTGCTTGCGCGTCTCTTCTGGCTCGTCGGCGCGAACAAAATCTCCGGACCCATATACACCGATCAGACAGTGCAGGGTACATCCAACCGCGACTTCCTGCAAAACTTTGTGGCCACTCTGCTCTCCAACGCATTCCCCAACCTGCAGGCCGTGCAAATCACCAACTTCATCACGAGTCTGTTTGAGACGACAGAGGATCTTGTCAAGTTCAAGCTCATTCTCCGCGACTTCTTGATCCAATTGAAGGAGTTTGCGGGCGACAACACGGAGCTGTTCCAGGAGGACCGCGAGAAGGCGGCCAAGGATGCGCAAGAGGCAGAGCGGAATCGCATGTCCAAGGTTGCGGGATTGCTCAAGCCAAGTGAGTTGGACGATGATGAGCTTTGAATCGAGGCCGAAGTGGAGCTTTCAAGGGGTGTTGTGGGAGGTTATGATGATGATGATAATGTGCTGGGGTTTTAAGGACACCACCCAAACAAAGCATGAGATGAGGCATTTCACCTGACCCACGAACACGAACATCGAGACATGAGGAGACTGTCGCTCGGCTGGGCTCGGTTCAGCTTGATCTCGTRTGCCGTC